ATTATTAAATATATTTTTTTTGCAAAGTTTTATTTACAATCTGTTTTAAATTAAATGATAAGTAAATATGATGACATTTATATAAATTAAATTAAAATTGGGGGAAAAATTATTAAAATGTATTATCTATACTAATAAATAAAAATGAGATGGTGTGTGTTTGTGTGTCTGTCTACTACTCAATAACGCAAAAACTACTGAACCGACTGGGCTCAAATTGCACACACATGAAGCTACAGTTCCGAGGATACATATAGAACTATTCCCGCTTCGATATTGTCCTAGGGCTCTGCCCAGTGGGCTTTAAAAAATTTGAGGTGAGAGATTTAAAAGTAAATATTGATTGATGGTATATCCATGGTAACAAAGAACAAACCTACAAAGTTTAAAAATATAAACAAGCAGAACTAACTGTCAAATGATTTTTTTTTTTAACAAGTATTTATTCACAATCTATTCTATACTAGAATAATAAGTAAATTTGATAACCATTTTAACATGGGTTAGTTACACTCCATCAAGTGCACTAACATACAAAAACTTTTAAAAAGTTCAACTAAAGACGATTTGGAAGGTCTATTGGATTAACTCTTTTGAGCCTATATGTAGCTTCACTATTGTCGAGGAGGTTAACTGCCAGGAAATTTGGATGGGTTTCTAATTTTCTTTGGTATTTTTCACTTCGTTTCTTTATTTCTTCTTTAACATAGGGTAATTTTGTATCTTGATGAATTACTTTATTTGTGACAAACCAAGGTGCTTGTAAAATTTTTCTCAGTGTTTTCGATTGAAACCTTTGAACTATTTCTATGTTTGAGTTGGAAGTGGTTCCCCAGAGTTGGATACCGTAGGTCCAAATAGGTTTCAATATAATTTTGTATAAAAGTAATTTATTTTCAACAGATAATTTTGAATTTCGACCAATGAGCCAATTTAGTTTGTTTGTTATTAAATTTAAATGAAGTCGTTTGTTCCAAATGTGTGAATGCCATGTAAGCCGTCTGTCGAGGTCAAATGAGTTTTGATTTCACAATAATTGTTAAATCAACAACAATAGTTGTTATTGTTGTTGTTAATTGTTGAATTATTCCACTCCACACAGCTGGTTCAAACATATTAAATACTGCACGAATATTAAAACAGAGAGGGTAAGGATTATAAATTTAAAATAATGATGTCACTAGCCCGAATGTAAACATTATTTAACATTACTTAAATGGAGCTGTCAAACAATATGTTAATATAATTTCATCAGTTACACCATTTGTTTATGTTTATGATCTATTATACTGAGTCTGTTCTAATATATGCTGTAATAATATTTTACAGGCAATAATTCGTTGTAAAAGAAATCATTCATGGATATAGGAAATAATTAAGATTCTATAATCATTGCCAAGCCATTATCCTGAGTTTTATGAGGTTTATTTTTATTTTTGTGTAAACAGCAATATAATCCCCCTTCCGCAGCAAATTTATAGACTTAGTGAATTTCCATTTACCTGATTATAATTTCGATAAAATATGTTAAAAAAATTACCATATTCTTCATATTTATTTCAATTTTCCTATTTGTTTCTATTTTTCGGTTTGTAACTGATGTTGTGATAGTTTTTTTGTTTACAGTGCAAACCATTTAACACGTTCTTTTATTGTACCTTAAAATCTATCATTGGTTTTGTATCGTAGGTAGCCTAAATAAGTACTCACAGTATGAGTACTTTATTTTTTACTTATACTTATACTTTTCCCCCTCAATGAATTCGTGTATTTCACGAAGGTGTCGAGACAAAACCCACCGATTAACAAAACTCTTATCACAAAACTGAGCACTGGCATACATGCATTGTTGACAAGACAAGCCAAAACGATTAAGTTAGTACACCACGCGACCACGCGACAGACAGCATTGAATTTGACGTTTAAGTTCGGCACTGCTCGGTAAGATTCGGAAGCGTTCGGCACAGCGCAGTAGTGGGGGAAGCGTTGTTCCGATTTCAAATTCCGCTGTCCCGTTTCTAGACAGACGAAAAAAAGGGCGGTGACAGTCTGACGGCAAGGTCTCCTTCTAACATGCCGGGCTATGAATCTTATGGTACCGGGTTCGAAACCAATCGGGGTCACAAACTTTTTGTCTAAGATTTTTGCATTATCAGCAAGTTTGGTTAGTTTGGTTAGGTTATGACAGTTTAATTTTAAAAAAAATTAAAAAATATAAAATTTAATTTGAGGCATTTATAGTTTTATTTAATGAACAGAACTATTTTTTCTATTAGTAAACCTTTATTCAATTTTGTCATTATCAGCAAGTTTGGTTAGTTAGGTTAGGTTATGACAGTTTAATTAAAAAAATTAATTATATATTTTTTTTAGTTTTAGGCCTATAATAATTTTTTTTAATTTCTAATTTTTAAACTCTCATTTTGTCCGTATTAAAAAACTGCAGCTGAAATAAAAATCGTGCGGACTGCACGGACAGTGTGGTTCACGAGACCTTACCGACAGACCGCCACCGCCCACCACCGCGCCGTGCAGAACGCATCATACCGTGCTAGCCGAACTGTTTGTTGGAAATTGTTGTCTCTATCACTGTCACTGTCAAAACGTGTCGTTTGTAGGTTAAATTTAAATTAATTTACCTGTCATAACCTAACCAAACTTGCTGATAATGAAAATTTTGAATGAAGGTTTAAGTAACTAATAACAAAAATAGTTCTGTTCATAAAATAAAATTATAAATGTCTCAAAATCAATTATCCGGCCCAATTAACCAATTATCAATTAAGCTATCCACTGCACCACCGAAACCTACGGCTGTTCAAATGAACAATTGGCAGTCAAATGAATCATTTGAATTTGAATAATTTGTTCCAACACAAGATCTTGATGTGCCTGTGGAGGAACTGTCCAGCAATCTGAACTTGTCACCTCTTGCCCTGCGACGTGACGTGGCTGATGTTATTCTTCTCTGGAAGATAGTCAATGGTCACATGAACTGTCCAGATCTCCTAGCTGAAATCGACCTCAGAGTGCCTACAAACACAAGATCTCGAGATCTGCTGGGTCGAAGATACCACTCAACCAACTTCGACTTCAACAGTCCTTTCGCAAGGTTTACTCGCCTGGGAAATCGAGTTGCGTCTGGGTGTGACCTGTTTTTCGATGGACTTCAGCAGGTTCGTCGGCAGGCCTCCTCTCTTCTTCTTTCTGGGAAAGACTAGTAATTAATTTATTGTTGTTTGTTAACCTTTATTTTCTGTTGTTGCTATGTTAGAGTATTTATTGTTGTTTGTTAATCTTATTTTTTTGTTGTTGTTACGCTTTGGATATTTATAACCTGTTATATCTTTGTTAACTTATATTTATCATCAAATTTTGCTTACCTATTTTGTTGTATTCAACCATCATGTTTATCTTTGTAAATTGGCTGCTGCCGTTGGAAATAAAATAAAATAAAATAAAATAAAATAAAATAAAATAAGATGATTATCTAATACCAGCCTTGCATGTATTTTCAGCCTGTCTATGCTTATCTGCTTTTGTACGATTATTTATTTGCATGATGTGTAAGTTTAGGTATCCTTGTACACTAATTCTTTACTATTAAAGTTGCCTGAACTTGACTTGTGCCTCTACCAGCATTTATTTATATAATTTGACTGTGTCTCATGCATTTATATAATGTCTATAGACGAATAAATATCATTTCATTTCATCATTTCATTTCATTTCAAGCAACGTATCGTTGGGGCAATGGTGTTCGCTCGAGCAGTGGTGGGCGGTGGCGGTGGCGGTCACTGAGCTATGTGGCGGTCTGTCGGCAAGGGTTAATTGTGATTTGTGGAGCTTCACTTCAGTCTCTTCTCTTTAGTCGTTCTCGTATCGACCTTCCGGGACTGTTGACCTGTTCCGGATACTGATGATCTAATTTGCGAAATTGAAAAGTAACCGGATATTCGGTATAATACGCCTGTGTCTTTGCCTTATTTTCTTTTAGCGAATTTCCCTATAGGGAAGTAGCTATTACCGTAGGTGGCACGGTAAGACCTAGACCCGGGACCGATTTACTTTTTCATTTTGATGTCCCCAGAGGCCAAAAACACTATTCGTTCAAATTTTTATATATGTATATATATATATATATATATATATATAGACTTATATATATATACGTCCGTGAACGCAATAACTTGAGTAATTTTTGTCCGATTTTGATGAAATTTGGTTTAAAGGTGTAAAGCGGGATAAACTTGAATGAGTTCGCGAACCAGCACGATCGGGACCATGGGAACGGGGCTTTACGGGGGGTTTTATGGGGTAAAAATTGGTTTTTCTCACTTTTGACCCTCAAAACACAAAATTTCCCAATTTCTCTTTAGACCTTTTTAAAGAGCTTAAAAAAACAAATAATTTAGTATATAAAAGTATTTTTGTTCGATTATTAGTAACGGATAAAATTAAAAAAATTGTAAGTTTAAAATTCCCATGTTATTCTTATGGAGAATATTGTCAAATGTTGTAGTTTGCTTGTTTATGAATATATTTTGATCAAACTTGGCAAATTTATTTATTTTGTACTAAGCTATCAATATTTTACTCAAAAACACACTTTATTAGTTTCCTTGTAGCAGCAAACCTAGGTACTTGTTAAACCTAATGTTATTAAAATATATTTAACTGAAAATCAATTCAGACAAATGGAAATTCGCTTAGTCGGCAGGTTTGCTGCGGCGGGGGTATTTATTATCAACGCGAGAAGAAGGAGATGTTCATTGTTCTACAGCATTTTCACAACTACCAGTACAGTGGCTGTAGTAGAGTGGCTTTTAAGTTGCCTGTACCATCCACTGCAGTTTCCCGGCCGGACACCGGTGTCCGCCACCAGTGGCCTCGTGTGAAAGGGCCCTTTCTGCAACGCTTCCGTCCCACTCCCTCACTCCCAGTCCCAGCCCAGCCCAGTCAAGGAAACAAGGAGTCAAGTCGTAACAACAACAACATAACGTAAGTCCCATGCACTTGTCCAATCTTTTAATTTTAATTCAATTATTCATGAAGCTTCTGTAGACTCGAGCGATTAATTTAATTGGCTATGTAGTTTCTTTCACGTGTACTGGAATAATTTATTACAGATCATAGGTAAGAAAGCTAATCAGTCTAGAATTGTTAAATTAGCCTAATGTACCTCTTGGAGGTACAGTTTCTTAACTGGGCTATGTTAATATCGATTGAAACAATCGAATTGAAAATATTGATTAATAATATTATATTTTGAACCTAACTAACCAAACTTGCTGATAATGAAAAAAAACCCTGAATGTTAACTAATCGAATGATAGCTTTTTGGGTACAGTGTCCCCTAGGCCGCTAGACACAAGCCCGGAATTGTTTTCACATTACTTTAGGCTTGACCTAGGGGTTACTGCATTAAGTTTATTACCTAGGCTACTTAGATGAAATCCATTGGTGATTTGGCGGGATTTGAACCGGAGTCCCGCGCTCTAAACCACTAAGTTAGACCAGCTTGCTCCCCACATAATTGAAATGTTACAGTCATAGGCTATTTTAAATCTGTGCAACAAAATTTCGGTACTTTTGTATTAGGCTATACGGAGGCCACTATTATACAGAAAGTCCTGTACTTTCGTCACTGTTCCATCTTTGTTCATATCTATTTCAACTTAGGCCTATCTATATACTGGTAGGCCTATTGTTCTTTATTTTATCTAAGACTAAGTAATTTAAGTTAACCCTAGATCTGGCGGTCATTTTATTCACCAGTGGCGGGTATATTTTGGCCCTTTGTTGTGGCACCATATATTTTGCGACAGAACAGTTGTTGTGAATATAGGTAATAATAATAATAAGTTTAAGTTAAAGTACACGTAAGTTATAAATGTATTTTCTTTTTTAGTGTTAAATATAGAATAGTTATAAGTTAATGATATAAAAAGGTTTGCAAATGTTCGGATTAGGCACAAATTAGAAATTTCAAAAGCGACCCACAAGAAAACTACAAAATATTTTTTTTCACATAGGCCTATACTATCCAACTTAAATGTAAAGGTTGTGTGAAATATGATTCTCTATGTAGAAAATATCAATGTTTTTGAAAAAGCCTGGTTCATAAAAATAAAATTATAAAAAAAGAAATTCTACATCTTAGGTAAGTTAGGCCTCCCAGTTTACATACTGTATTTTCTTTTTTGAAAAAAACTACCAAATTGTTGTTGCCATGTGGGAAATATTGAATGCATTAACAGAAAATAAATAGGTAACTTATGATAAGTTAGGTACTGCATGATAGAAAATAAAAAAAATCTCTCTGAAAATATATAGGCTAGTTAGGCCTATATACGTAGGGCTTAGTTGAATTCTAACATTTCTGAGTAAGTTAATTTACGGTGGAATGTAAAATTTTGAAGATTTTTTACAAATAACTTTTATGACATTTTTTTGTGTTTTGTTTACAATTTGTTTCTTGTTAAGTATTTAAGTACTTTTAAACCAGTGGCGGAGATAAGAGCCCGCAGGCCCCCCCCCCCCCGCAAGTTTGTTCGCCGGTCCCCCTCTCCCAATAATCTTTTAAAACATGTTTATTAGGCCTACCGCCCAAACTTGCATTTTTGCAATAAACTTGACAAGGCATCTCCCGAGGCCTCATCATCGTCTTCCATGATGGCGGCAAAATCGTGAATACTTCCCGTAGTCATGGAAGAATTATTATCATAGTCTACCGTGATTGCAACTGTAACCAAACCTAAGTTATAGACATCATCAGATAGCAACATCATCGTCTCCCGCGTTCACGGCCCAATGGCCAATCTAATATCACGGCCTATTATCTCCTGCGACCCATCGGTGGTGACGGGGAAATAATTTTTTCCGCAATCGCGGTAAAATCCTAGATAGTATATCTCTTGCTGGAAAAGAAATGTCATTATTGTCTTCCACAATCGCCGCAAAATATTGAACATCTCCTGCGGCCGCAGAGACATCGTCATCTTCACCCTCGGGGAAATGTTCTCGCCAATATCCACGATCGCGGCAAAAGCGTAAGTAGGCCTAATCTTTTAATTTCGTAAGCGTGAGTGATCCTTGCTGACATAATTACCGCTTTTACTTTCAATTGAGCATTATTGTATTGAGTACTGAGAAAATCGGCTCGAGCTTGATTTTCTGACTTTGTTCTTGACCTCCCAAGCTTGTAGGCCAGCCTCTGCTCGGCTCAAAAATCGATATTATATAAACCCTTTCAGACAAAAAATCAACCCTTTCAGTTTTCAAAGCAAACTGATTTTGAACCGATCTGATCTGGCCTGAGGCTAATAGGTAGGCTAAGTAACATTTTTTACCTGACTCTAAGTAAACAAATCTAAAGGGCAGCCTCCTAATAGTAAGTAGTAATTAAATTAAATGAAAATCCTTAGCTTCAATGAAGGATTGGAATTATTTATTAGCTAGTGTCCTAATCACCTAGGTTAATTTGCTGATTTTATCATGAAAAAATTGTCAAGTTCATTTAGTTGATTCAGCATAGAGGGCCCTCTCTGGTGTGACCCGCCGGGGGCTTTTACTCCATACATCTTGGGCTAGGACATAGACTAAGCAACACAAGGGAGTATGTTTTATCTATGGCTAGGAGGATTAACATTAATGTTTTAAAATCCTCCTAGGCCTGAGGCCACATTGGTTAATACGGCCCTATTATAGTGCCTTCACACAGTCCACGAGGACAGTTGATGCAACCTGCATGACTGTTGACAATTCTTTTACTTAGGTTGGTAGAGAATGTATCGATCAGTCAACTAATAGTGTTAGTTTAGCTCTAGTAAACAATTTGTCCTAGTGCTCTTGCTGGTTTGAAAAAAATTTGTCATAAAAAAACTTATGGTAGGCTAATTCTCATATAAATATTGTTATGATAGGGGACCCATGCGGTTGAGCCTGTCGCACAATCAAGGACCCGTGTCCCAAAAAAATTTACCGAAAAATTCCGGTCAAGGCTCGCGGCCCTGCACCGCGAGCCCTGCGGGGTCGCTGACGCCGCTGCTGTTTAAAACCACATATTTGTTTGTTTTTTTTTTCCGCCGCTCTTAAAGGAAAATGCGTCTTTTTACTTTCTTGCAATAGATTTCATGTTTACATTTGCAATGTTTTGACAGATAGAACTGTGAAGTGCACTCTAGTGGATGTATGGATACAACCAAACGGAATTTAGTCGAAGCTGTTCCAATTATTAAATTACTTCCCCATTTTTACTCAACATATTTACCTCAACATAAGTTTCCAATATATATAATTCTTCCGACATAAAAAATTATATATTGTGCATTTGCATAGGCTATCTTATTTATCTTTTACAAGTAATATTACTTAAATATTAATATTACTAAAAGGGTCGTGTTAAAATACTCCACAGATAGGGGGGAATGAGGACAAAACAGTGGCACAGTACCCTCACTACGTTCATCTTGCCCATCAGGAAAGACGGCGGAGAGATGACTTGGACGGGAAATTTGTGCATGTAGAGTTTTGATATTGTACGAATAATAAACGGAGATGAGGTAGAACATAGTATTCTCAGCAATGTAGTGAAATGTGGTTAGGAATGTCGAATGTCTGCTCCATTACAAAACGTTATGGATAACATTTTAAGTTTGGTTTATGGGGGTGTGACTTGTAGTTTTCTCAAAAGTTCGTGGTTACTTTGGGATCTGTATATGGATATATGGATGGCATGACTGTAAACATTTCTTAAGCACATGTTTATTTAGTCTTGGTTATTTATGCTAATTAGTTGTGTGTTTTTACAGTTGTAATCCCAGTCGACATTATGAAAGATAACATAGACGTTTTCCAGCTTCAAGTTCAACGGGATAAGAATCGTAACAGGGGTCCTCCGGTGGATTACAAGGAACATGATAGTACTTACTATGGAGTACGCTTCATCCATGAAATCGGTAAGTCTGAGCACATTAGTATTTGAGCTTACAACTTTAAAACAATCAAGGATCTCAGAGCTAGCTTAAATAGTTAGTAACCCCCTAATGAAATATAAACTCCTGATTGTCCTTGAATTACAGTAATTAAAATCGCAAAAAAAAAACAAAGGTAGACTGATTAAGATGACATGTCTACCTACAACCGCCGCCGTGTTATGATAGCGTTATCGTGATTGTTTTGTGTATGTCTCGTGTTTAATGTGCTTTTTGTGTGTAAATTTTGATGTTTTTAGCGTGTTGCAAGCTCCGAAGATGTTGCAGTTGCAATGAAATATGTAAGCTTTAAGTAATTGAGGTAAGCCTAAAAAGCCTCCTTCTATACGTAGTCCAGGGGCCATCAGATTGAATATTATAAACTATTGCAACTTCAAAACGCTGATCCGCAAGTGACTTTTGTCACTGTCTAGAAAAAAACCTACGCTGAAGCTGTCAGTGTCATGTGATTCAGTATATGAGTATTCTTGATTCTCCGCAGCTCCTTTAACACCTTATACACATCTTTATTTAAACATGTTTAATGGATTTCAAAAGGGCCCATTCCCATAAAAATGTAATCAATAGTACACTTACATTTTTTAATCTACCTTTATCGTCTACACCCCTGTATACTTAGGTGTGGACCAGCTAGATTTAATATTAACAGAAGAAATAAGGTATAAAGTAGGCTTAATTGTTTCCAATTTAACTAGCTCACTTGGCAGCCAAGGACTATTCTTAGTTCACGGACAACCATCACATTATCGTTAAAAAATAATTTGAGCCAACTCAAAGCCAAGCTGCAGTACGATCGTTTATGGACAGTGCATGTCTGTCGTAATTATATAGGCCTAGCCCAAAAAAAGTTAAAGTCAAATTTGTGTCTAGTCGCAAAGCTAAAAGAATCTCAATGGTTTTTCTTTGTTAGCGAGCACTGTAACCATTCTTCAGCCAAGTAACACATCTTATTTATATGTAGCAACAAAAGTTGAGCTGTAGAATGATGTAATTTTGGGCCTAATTTTGTCACAGTTTTCACGGAACCGATCAAATTTTCCAGGAATGAAGCTAAATGCGAGCCCACTGGTAGTGTCCACTGCAGCAGTTCTGTATCATAAATTCTTCAAAGATGCTGACAGCAGTAATTATGACAGATTTGTAAGTATTGAGACAATCTTACTCTTGCAGCTATATTGGAATAATTTACTTGCCCAAAAATCCCAATTTATATCAATTTATTCAAAAAGATGTATAGATAAACTATTGAGCAAGTTATACAAAAAGTGCATGACGTTTTTGTTCTTTTTATTAAGAATTTTTCCCAAGAAGATGGCCTTATAGGCCAGGGTCTAAGGATTGTATATGGATTTTATTATGGATAGGTTTAACAGCAGTCTTACCTTACTGTTGAAAGAGATAAAAATGATCAAATAAACACATATAATTTTTGGAGCTACTGACTACAGCTATGGTTTGATTTGGACAAAATTTTGTATGTGGTTACTAATCTATAGTACCGGTATCTCCAGGCGTTTTTTTTTTACAAAGATCCTTAAAATAATAGAAAAATCAGATTTTTACAAAAACAGCTTAAATGATTTTGATTAATATTCTGTAGGCCTATGTTATACGGTAGCCATTTTAACTCTGAACAAAACCCCAAATGTTGTAAACATTACGGTTCAGGATTACGGTAGGCCCTAATTGCAATTTTGTGATTTTAGCCATAAAATATAGTAGTTACACCGCTTACCCATTTTAAGGATTTTTGACAAGCCAATGAAAGAAAGTATGTTTTGCTGGTAAGCTACAGTTTTTTTGTGATTATAACACTTTTTACAAACTGAAGCTCGGTTAGTCAGGGTACTGAAATTGTGTTAAACAGCCACTATATAGTTTACTTTGCAGCTGATAGCGTCCACCTGCGTCTACTTGGCTGGCAAGGTGAAGGACGAGCCTGTGAAGGTGCGAGACGTTATCAACGTGTCTCGCAACACTCTCCACCGCAACTCCGTACCACTAGATCTAGGAGATGAGTATTGGAACATGAGGGACTCCATCGTACAAGGGGAACTGCTCGTCATGCGAATGCTCAAGTTTGAGGTCACCATCATTCATCCACACAAAGTGAGTACTAGGAAATTCTATTATCATGGAAATTTACGTGCATTGACATTGTCAGTGAGCAGAACATAAAATTTCAATGTATTAAGTATTAAGAGTATGAGTTCAAGTATTAAGAGAGTATGAGTGGCTAAGGAAGTATGTTTTAGTTCTCCCATTTGGATAAGTAGGTCAGTAGAGCATCCATCTTCACCTATCTTCAAACTTGTTTTTAGCACTGACGATGGATAGGAATTCAGTTTCAAAGAGTAAAAGGTATTAGTTATGCAATGTCCGACGACAAAGTTTAATTGAGTCAACTCGGTTCGGAGATTTATCAAGTAACGTGTATAGACTTTACATATCCAATAAAAGCACATGCTGTCGATTTTATTCCAAAATCAAAAACTATTTAGTCAAACTCAAAGAAGCCATCTGCAAGTTACAAGTGCTAATACCACTCTGTTTTGATTGTTTCAGTATATGCTGCATTATCTGAAGTCACTACAGACGTGGATTTATCCAGAGGAATGGAAGAAAGTTCCCATCGTTCACATGGCTTATTCTTTCCTACAGGTAAGCCTAGCAGTACCCTTGTAGTACAAATTCACTGTTTTTTACATAGTAATGCACTTAGGCCTAACTAAATATTATCGTATTTGTAGTCCTCTAATGCGAGCTGTAGATAAATAGTAACATTCTCTCTAATTTAGGAATACTGTGTTCCAATTAAGTCTAATTAGAATGTGATGTCAGCTCACTTGATACTGCATATGACATTAGTTTGGACTGTTGTCATGATGGTAGCAAATAAATGTCTTATATAAAAACCTTTTTCAATACAAGACCTATTTTTATTCCAAAAAGTTTTAATTAATTTAATCAAAACTATGTTGCTTTGCTAAAAAATAATTTTAAAACTTGAAGTATCATATGTTATTTTAGTATTTTATTTTTATGGGTACCCAAAACCCATTACAGTAGAACCCTTTATATCCAACGTCGGCATCACTGACTCCTCGGTATATCCGACCTAGTGTCCGACAATCTACTTGTTTTATATCTAGGGCAAGGAAATAGCAGAGTGCGTTCAGTTAACCAAAAGGCCGATCGTAGATGTTGCTGTAATCATGGTAGACAATCCATCGTCGCCGAGACCATAAGATACGGTCACGGATGTTGCCGTGTTTGCGGAAAACAATTACCGATGAAACTGCCAAGACATATTCATGGGTGTTGGCGCGGTTGCAAAAGATGATTCCCAATGTCGCGGAGACTGCAAACCGAACTCGTCCTGATATCTGAGCTTTTAGCTGTTCCGTCTATGGCCCGGTCTCGTAATGGTCAGATATGAAAGGTACTTGTAACGGGTCAAATGTGCAGGGGGTAAAATAACGGCTAAACCACGAACTTTAAACAGCTAAACATAAGCTGTTGAGTAAGCCTAGTCGCGACACTAAACTGACATCGTACCTAGCCTCAAATACCAAGACCGCAGACGACGTTGGTGTCAGTTTGGTTGTTTGGCTGTTCGACTGCGTCTGAGGGCGGGCTACGGGAGAGAAGATGAGCAGCGGGGTCACCTTTTGAGCGGTACGCGGCTGTAAGCCTGTTAAAGCTGTCATGCGCCTGCCTTTGCTGACATGGGGCTCAGCTGACTCTGTTTGTGCTGACCAATCAAGAAGCGTTTTAACTTTCGTCTCGATTCTGAGACGAAGGTGAAGGAAGAAGAAGAATTGTGAGGAGAATTGGTCATTGTCATCCCGGCTTTGGGTGAATTCGTTTTGAATTGGTTTTCGTTCGACCCTTTCTTCGTTTTCGTCGTTTCGTTTGTTAAATTCGTACAAGTACGTTTCGCAAGCTCCGAAAGCTTGAGTGTGGACGTCCTTTACACCTCGTTCGTCGATTGGTAAGTTGTGTAATAAACAACTAAAAGTTTTTGAATATTTTCTCTACCAGTTGTGTTTCGGCAAAACTTTGTCGAAACTCGAAGGCTAGGTCTGCTTCCAAGCCCTAGCCCTACGATATTGTAACCAACCAATTTAGTAAAGCATTGTAGTTGGTGACTTGCTGTTTCGATTTCGCCTTGAAATTTATTTTGGGAACTTCTTTTAAGAGTTAAATCTGTTTCAAAGTTCCTTTAACGTCCCGAAGTTTGCCCCAGCAGACAGGTTTCTGCTTGATAAATATTGCAGAAGTTTGCTTAAGTTACCCACATGAGTACAGTAGGTAGAAGTTTTAGTTTCTCGTTTTTCAGCTCCAGTAGCAGTTTTATTTTTAGTTTCAGCTTTTCTCTCGTTTCGTGTCTCACTTGTGCAATTTAAGCCAACTTGCTTTCTTGTTTTAGTAAATTTGGACTCTGTGGGAGTTAGGCTAGGTTAGGCCTATCTTGTACTAACCTTGTTTGTTCCAGGTTGACGACGTAACTCCGTAGGTAAGCGGAGTGACTACTTAGCTTACTTGTTGATTCGTTAAGTTCGCTAGTAGTGTGTCATTTAGATATTTGCCCACAGAGTCAAGTCAAAATTATTTATTTCCCCACAAGCCCTAGGCTAGTGTGGTGATTTCGAGTAGGGTGTTTAGTAACCCGCAACGTTCGTCTCGAGCTCTGACAACCAGGGCTATCAAATTTAGGCTATCCGAATCACTATCGACTCCTGGGAAACTCCCCGCGACCAGACTAGGGCGAATCCTGGGATCCTCGTTTTATTACCGGTGGCGTAATTTCCCACTTGTCGTCCGCCAGGAAAATTACGTCACATACTACTGTAGTTTTTGAACAACCAGAGAGAACTGATTTCATAGAATTGTAATAGATGAAATCAGAATCCGAGAATTGATTTCACAGATTCAGACTCTCGCATCAATTTCTTCTAATCGTAACCATCCAATACCCAATCAAAACTGTTGTTGCAGGATTTCCACTATTCACCTGCAATCCTGGACTACAAGGCACAACATGTGGCGATTGCTTGTATCAACTTGACCCTGCAAGTTTACGGTGTACAAATACCTTACACGGATGAAGACGAAGGGATCACTTGGTACTCGGTAAGTTGTGTGTCATCATGCTTTTGTATCGAATCCTCAATTTTTGTTCACCCCTTATTTGCATTTAATTTATTTTTTTAGACCAACTTAAATCACTATCCATTCAAATAGTTGATTGCCATTATGTGAATTGTTCATAAAACTACATGTTTAATCCTCATGTTAAAGTTGTTGCCAGTTTTAAAATGAAAATGGATGAAAGTTGAAGTGAGCCATTGGTGGATGCTGATGTAAATAATTACGTTGTGGCAAATGCAGACTTTTTAACCGAGTAAAACTGATAGCTATACTCACTGTAAGCTATAGCATCTTTTTGTCCCATCTCAGTAACAAAATAAGGTAGAAAATATAATCATAGACACTAGCGCCATACTAGCGTTATCTATGAATTACATTCAACTATACATCCCATCTATATGGACCAGCTGCAGCCAATCTTTTAGTAAAAAAGAACGTAGTTGTGTGAGCCAGTCACAGAATGCACTAGTGTCTAAAATTCCATTTTATACTTAAATTTCTTGTTGCTGATCAGGTTGATGGGTCTTACAGTTGCTATAGCTCACCATAAGTCATTCCCTAAGTTTGACTTTGTAGAAAGGTTTGCGTATTCGACGAAATTTAGATCAGCGCAATCTGTCGGTGGCTCACATCAACTACGGCAGTTTTGATAAAAAATCTGGCTACAAATTTAATAGGGGGATGGAATGTCTAATTCAACTAATATCAATTAGCTGGTGAAAAGAGAACCAGTTCTGTTAATAAAAATATTGGAAGCTGGTTCATATACAGTAGATAGGATCTCTCACTTCGCATACCTAAGTAAATGTATACAATACACAGTCAAATAAAACACAGAATTAAGTTAATACAGCATATAATATCAGAAAGGATATACAACAGTTATAAAGCTTTTATATCATTATATGGACTTTTATATAGCTCATTTAAAAATGAATTGACATATTGGGATGTTTCTAAATAATTGCTTTATAAATCTTTGTTGTCAATTTTTTTATTTTCGATTACCACAACAATTTGCTACAAACACAAGCTAAACAAATTTCAGAATATAAGGAGAAAATAAAAATCCTGTTCCAAGCTATTAGTCCAGTTTCAACCCTATGTAAGTTAATTTGTGGAAATAATTATATTTTAGTATTATTTTCTGTTGACGAGTTTTGTTCACAGGTGTTTGTGGATGACCTAACAAAAGACCATTTGTGGGAGATCATGGAAAACATTATGGACATTTATGAAAAGGAGTCAGAAACCGGATGAATCTACAAGCCTCAGTTTTGTACTCACAAATAAATGACTGAAACATGTATTTTAGGAGGCTGTGCGATTTTTCAATAAAAATGTATAATTGAATATGTTGTTTTCCTTTAAAAGTTATCATACTAATATTATTTTATTTTCAATTGTGGCAGATTAGAAATAGGTTCCTTTAAAAATAGGGGTCTTCTCTTCGTAATTTAAGGTCGGTACAGTTTGGTACGGTACAATGTTTTGTACCCTGTTTCTCAGTACAAAATCAGTACAATACATGCGGCTACCGGTATATTTGTGGTTTTCTTCTCAGAATTGTATTTTACCCATTATTTTTAATTTTAATACATTGAAATTACTATGAAAATGCATAGTATCTTACATTCATGGTTTTCTAACTACAATCTATGTACCACACATTATTAAAACCTTTTACTCCTAAAAGGATTGTGTCCAGAAAAAAAGTTCAGATATGGCTTTACCAATTTTACTCTGAAATACTCTAAATGGCTATGATAAAATGGTTTTAAAATTAGGATCAGAATTTTTAGGAATAAACAAACATGTTTGAAGCATTAATTTTACAGAATAATTTCACACAACTGGTAAATTATTTCCAACCAACACATGTCTACAGTACGGTCCACAAAAGTCTGCATATGAGGGAGGAGCATATTTACCACGTGACTTCAAATCAAATTTATAAACAAAGAGCCAACAATTTTTTACAAAAAAGTATGACCTACATTGTAATTGTCCTACTGTTTACATTAAAATATATCAATAACATCATTTTCATAACTTATGGTTATAGAATCTTTCTTTATTTCCATAATCAATAATGACATAAATAAACCTACCACATAGTTGTGTAAGGGGCTTCGAACTCAGGAAAGTGAATAGTCCTATGACATCCCTAGGCATGTGGACAATCTTTTGTGCTTAATTTGGGCTGTATCGGTTTAGTATTTTAGTCATGGCAGTCGGACAGACAAGACACTATCTCAATTTTATAATAGTATGTATAGATAGATGATAGATGGGATGGCCTCAGAATAAATGAAGTTCTCAAAATTGACTAATAGAGGTTTAAATCACCTGAGTTTTGTCAAAAAGGGCTGAGAATTGTGTTGACACTAATTAGGTAATTAATAAACTATTGTAGAGTATTTTACTTGAATATACAATATCAATTGGCATTTGCTACAAGTATACATAAGCTAATTATGTTGTATAACACATGTGTAGGCCTAGCTCAAATGATCCACAGATGGGAAAAGATGTTACCAATTTCACCATGATTGCTGGAATACAAAATGGGCCCTACAAAAAATCAGTAGTACACCAAATAAAAAAGATAAATTCTGTTTTACTGGCAATGATAAGTTTTTAGAGAATTTTTTAGGGAATTTTCACAAACCCATGTTGGCAACACTGTTTACTTGGAGGATTCCATTCCCCAAATACCTTCTCCCCTTTCCTCCCCTACCTGTTGATATATTGTTTGTTCATTTTGCGTGGGTGCCGTGACCTTGACAGGTTGTCTGTTCATATCATGCCCGTCTCAAAAGCCCAGTGTTAGTGTATAGGGTTTCGGTTTGTGTGTTTCTAAGCGGGGTCCATTATTTTCAAATAGGATCTCACAGACCGGGGGTTTTGGTTAGCGTCAGCCTGGGTAGGGTTTCTATATTAGTGTAATACTTTGAACTCAATTATGTAATTTTAAGGAAATCCATTATACATCTTGTCATTCCTACTACTTTCATACCTGAGCATTATCATAAAATCATATGATTCTTAAGACGAGAAAAGTTCAAATTGAAGTTAAAAGCCAATTTCTTATCAAAAGTAAGTAGTTTAAATGTTTTACTTGCAAAATTTCACAGAATATACGATTGTAGAGACTCTGTAAGATACTGTGTTTAGGGCAATCAATCAAATAAACATGAATCTCAACAGCAGTTTAATAAACTTCGAATGTGTTTATACATGTTTACTTACGCATGTCTTGAAATTGGCATTGATCCTTAGTTGCTTCTTCAAACAGCTGTTTGAAATGATTCTGGAATTTTTTTGAATCAACAACTGTTTGGATTGCTCCCCTGATATACTTCTTACGAAAATCAAGGGTGTCGCCGTCTGGAGTAGGTTCAAGAGTGTCGCCGTCTGGAGTAGGTTCAAGAGTGTCTGTGTCTGGAATAGGTTTTATGTATAAAGTAAATACGTTTGATAGATCAAAAGTTGTCTGGGTTGGTTCATTTGTTTCACCATTCCAGAGGAGATTACATTTTACCTTCCCAGACTTTTTTACTATCTGAAACTTGAGCCGTCTCATTACGATTGGGACATCAAATTCTTTCAAGGTATTCCAGTGTATCCAGAAGGGTGAGCAGCACCCCAGACTTATGTAAAAAAATTTCCTTGACATGCAGAATTTATTTACGTGCAAAATGACAGTCTCAAATCCAAGATCATTCAAGAAAATCCCATGGTCAGATGATGACACAGATTTCCACACAGGTTTCGCGATTGACAAAGACCATCCTTTAACGCACCCATAAGCTGGTGCGGTGGGTGATTTTATGAACTGGAATGTACCTGGGGTATGCTTCATGTAGTTTACATTATGTAAGCTATTTTTCAATTGTTGAACTGTTTCATCTAGTGAAGGGTCAGCGGTAGCTACCTGTAGAAACATGAACAATGTTAACACTGCCAAAACTAACATGTTCAAGTCTAGCTCAGCCTATGTTGAATAAAAATAATACTGAATACAAAAACTCAGTATGTTAACAGACTATACAACAAAGTACACAAGAGTGAAAATTTAAAAACGTACGTTTTCATGTCCCTGGCCTTTTACTTCGTAGATACTGGATTTGTCGTTTATTATTATGTGTTTTAATATTTAATGACTACTTAATTAATACTTAATTATTATTAATTTTACATTAATAATTAATTTTAATGTTTTAATTAATTTTAAGTATAATTAATTTTACTACTTAATTATTACTTTAATATTTTTTGGGAAATGGTGTTTTCGGTCTCTAGAGTCATAAAATGAAAAGAAGATAAACGGGCATAAAACTTACTGCAAAACTCATTCTCGACATGGGAAATTCGATAAAACATTATTTGTAAGTAGGGATGGACAGGATTGAATTTTTAGTTCAGTATGGGAGATTTTTATTTCCTTCCCGATTTTTGGGACAAAATTTTTTCCTGTTCATAAAAAGGGTTTGTCTAAAAGTCTTGAGTATCGATTGCAGTTTCCAAAAAAGACAAAAAAATTAATTTTTACCGTTCATAGCACTGATCTATAAAAACAAACAAAAAATGGTAAAAATGAACATGTATAGAAAATTGTGAGTCGCGGTCACAGCACGATTGTTGAAATGACTGCTGTCATGGCATGATAATCGAAATAACTCCGTGGTCACAGCTTAATCGTCGGTATGACTCCGTGGTCACAGCGTGATCGTCGGTATGACTCCACGGTCACGGCGTGATCGTCGGTATGACGCGTGGTCACAGCGTAATCGTCGGTATGACTCCACGGTCACAGCTTAATCGTCGGTATGACTCCACGGTCACGGCGTGATCGTCGGTACCCTAGTGGAAGAGATCAATATATATCAATACAAAAATTGTATATTGATACGTATTGATACGTATGTGTATTTGGGCCAATACACATCAATACACATCAATACATATCAATACAAGTAAATATAGGATCCGAGTCATTAGCTTAATTGAAAATAATTTGTAGCTTGTTAAAAAACAATTTTTAATTTGTTTCAACACATTGAATCACATCTACTATGCACTAAAAATAAAATAAAAATGAAAAAGTAAAAAAATTCTTTTCAAAAAGCACTTGGTGTTCCCGTGATTTGAACCTGGGACTCCAGCGTGGTTGCCTACTGTTTAAGCCATTACGCCACGGACGCTTCATGTCTGAGTCAGTAATGATAGCCACTTTGAATGTGAGAAGCTGTGTTAGGCCTCATGATTAAACTTTGAAAGATTTTTCAATAGCATTTGTGTCATTTCAAGCATGTAGACCTACCTATGCATGTAATTATACTTTAACATGTTTCAAAACTATTACCAGTTCAAACTGTTTTCTTGCTCCTTGGGTGATGTGAATAGTGTCAATACAATTTATTTTTATTGATTTCTAGAAATAAGAAATTCAATGATGAATTTGTGAGTGATTTTTATCCCTTACAATAACCCATTAAGAAAGAAATTGTTAAAAGTTGTATTACAATTGTTGTATAACAATTTTAAAACATTTTGATTTAAACTTCATATTACAACAATGTTGATATAAGATTGAAACAATTTTAAAAATGTTTAACAATAAGTTTTTTGCAGCTGAAAAAAATAAGTTTCAATACGAGCTGTAACTGTTTTACAACAATTTTAAAATTGTTTTACAATCAGTTTTTTGAAGTTTAAAAAAATTAGTTTTAATATAAGTTGTAAACTGTTTTACAACAATTTTAAAATTGTTTAGCAATCAGTTTTTGGCAGTTAAAAAAAAAGATGTAATACAAAGTTGTAACTGTTTTACATCAAAATTTTAAAATGATATATTTTGAAATTATATTGAGTTTTAGGTACCTCAGCTAACGTCTATGACCTAAAACTAGAGTATTTCTTTTTTTCAAAAAATAACATTTTTATTACTGTTTATTTAACCACTTTACATTGATATTTTGTATAATCCATAATGCTCATATGTGATACATTTTAGAGATATTTTGAATTTTATCTACCCGTATTGATGTCTATTGATTTATATTTACATCTAACATATTAAAAAAATATTCTCTATTGATATCAATGAACGATTTGTTTGCTCTAATGATCTATATTGATATATTTTATGTTTATAGATGTCTAGTGATATGTATTGACTAAGTTTTCAGTGATGTCTATTTGTTTGTATTTACTTGTAATGATATCCATGAACATTTATTGATATCACTAAGCATCTAGTGATATCAATAGATTTTTTCTATTGATTTCTATTGATGTCTTCCACTAGGGTATGATGCGTGGTCACAGCGTAATCGTCGGTATGACTCCACGCTCACAGCTTAATCGTCGGTATGACTCCACGCTCACAGCTTAATCGTCGGTATGACTCCGTGGTCACAGCGTGATCGTCGGTATGACGCGTGGTCACAGCGTAATCGTCGGTATGACTCCACGCTCACAGCTTAATCGTCGGTATGACTCCACGCTCACAGCTTAATCGTCGGTATGACTCCGTGGTCACAGCGTGATCGTCGGTATGACGCGTGGTCACAGCGTAATCGTCGGTATGACTCCACGCTCACAGCTTAATCGTCGGTATGACTCCGTGGTCACGGCGTGATCGTCGGTATGATGCGTGGTCACAGCGTAATCGTCGGTATGACTCCACGCTCACAGCTTAATCGTCGGTATGACTCCGTGGTCACGGCGTGATCGTCGGTATGATGCGTGGTCACAGCGTAATCGTCGGTATGATGCGTGGTCACAGCGTAATCGTCGGTATGACTCCACGCTCACAGCTTAATCGTCGGTATGACTCCACGCTCACAGCTTAATCGTCGGTATGACTCCGTGGTCACAGCGTGATCTTCGGTATGACTCCACGGTCACGGCGTGATCGTCGGTATGACGCGTGGTCACAGCGTAATAGTCGGTATGACTCCACGGTCACAGCTTAATCGTCAGTATGACTCCACGGTCACGGCGTGATCGTCGGTATGACGCATGGTCACAGCGTAATCGTCGGTATGACTCCGTGGTCACAGCGTAATCGTCGGTATGACTCCACGGTCACGACGTGATCGCCGGTATGACTCCACGGTCACGGCGTGATCGTCGGTATGACGCGTGGTCACAGCGTAATCGTCGGTATGACTCCACGGTCACAGCTTAATCGTCGGTATGACTCCACGGTCACGGCGTGATCGTCGGTATGATGCGTGGTCACAGCGTAATCGTCGGTATGACTCCGTGGTCACAGCTTAATCGTCGGTATGACTCACGGTTACGACGCGATCACCGAAATGACTCTTTTGGTCACGGCGTGATCGTCGGTATGAATCGCGGTAACGGAGTGATCGCCGGTATAAATCGCGGTAACGGCGTGACCGTCGGTATGACTCTGCGGTCATAGCACGGTCGTCGGTATGACTTCCGGTCACGGTACGATCGTCGGTATGACTACGCGATCACGGTACGATCGTTGGTATGACTCTGCGGTCATAGCGCGGTCGTCGCGGTATGACTCTCCGGTCACTGTACGATCGTCGGTATGACTACGCGATCGCGGCACGATCGTTAGTATGACTCTGCGGTCACGGCACGACCGTCGAAATGACTCACGGTTAAGACGCAATCGCCGAAATGACTCTGTGGTAACGGCGTTATCGTAGGTATGAATCGCGGTAACGGCGATATCGTCGAAATAACTCATGGTCACGGTGTGATTGTCGGTATGACTCCGCGGTCACGGCGCGATCGTCGAAATGTCTTCGTCTCATGTGTTCGCAGAAATAACGTGAACATCTCCCGCGATATCGGCGTATTCGTCACTAGCGAAGCGGCAAAATTGCCAATGATCGGATAAAAACCTGTCCCGAAAAATTCCTGAATAAAAAATAATCCCGTCCCGCGAATCGAGAATATTTTTTCCCGAAAAAAATTACCCGAAATTTTGGGACCCGTCCATCCCTATTTGTATGACATACATCTGTCTGTCTTATTTAGTTTTGACTATTATACTTAGTTAAAGAATACCGATGCTTCGTCACATGGTAATTTCATTTAAAGATATTTACTTTTTTTAAACTACTTATTTTCTTAAGTATTAGGACTTACCACTAACGAAAGTAGTCTTAGCAATAAAACCTGGAGCAGCGACTTCATCATGACTTGACTCCAACTGAACAGATTCACATAACCATCTGGCAATTAACTCTTCAAAATTGACAGCCAATTTTAGACTAAACCATCAGTCTTGAATGTTTTAGCGTGTTCAATACTTTTACCAACATTTTTTTACGAATGTAAAACTTAGAAAACCAAATAAATTAAAGCTGTAAATGCTTAAATATATACTTTTTTCCTTTGTCTAAGATGCTTTTCCATCAAACTGAAAACGTAGCTTTTAGTAACGTCATAGCCTCCTATTAGATGCATTTGAGTAGCGTTGAATCTATAGATAAATATTTATCTTGCAAAAACAAACAATTACATAAATTGTTCATCAGTCAAAAAAGATACTTTAAAACCTCATATTAATAAAAACTTATACTTAACTCAAGTTACTTTAACAAAATTCTTAGGACTAATAATTGATTAAAATTTATCTTGGTTGTACCACATTGATAAACTTAAAGAGTAAAATTTGTTCAGGTCTAGTTATTCTGTGTAGCTTGTCTAAACTCTGCTCATTGGATGTGTTACTGAAGGTTTACTGTGCTCACATAAACTTACATATTATTCGGTATTGAATTATATGGGGCAACCATTCAAAATTTAGATAGTACCTTTGACTATTAATACAATAGTCAATGATAGTACGTAGTAGAATCCTTATATATAATACCTAATACGTGAAGGCGATTTCTAGGAAACACTACTCCTCCGTGCGTCACACACAAACACAAAACACTACACACAATGCACCAAAATTAAGTATTTTTTGTGTAGAAGCCCCCTTTTGCCAATTCATGTAATAAAAGTCCTCGGGCTTTTCCCCACTGGCCATCAAAATCCCAATGTATTTCTTGTGAAGAAAATTTACTAACCCAGCTGTTATGCTTTGTTTTTCTTTTCAATTAAATTTGTTTATTATGCCGATTGAATTACTTTTGCATATATTTTAAATGCAATACACTATATAAACTGATAGTAATACATTAATAAATCTGCATTTAAATAATCATCGAATACGATTGAGCTTTGCATATATGTTTTATGGTAAGACTGTTGTTTGTAACTGTTTCTTGTAGTAGATTTTAAAACCCGAATTATTCTTTTCTGCATTCTTACACCGTAGCGAAGCACGGGCAGAGCAACTAGTAGATAGCAATAGCTGTTGTACCTATGCTTTCTACCAAGTTTCGTGGCCATCAGCTCAGCGGTGTCTGAGTTGATCACTACACTACCAAACATAGAAATATACAAACCAACGACATCCTCTTTTATACTTAAACTAGCTGTACCCGCGGGCTTTGCCCCGTTTAACTTCATAAGTATTCGCATGGCTCAATCACGTCCTGGTTGAAGTTCGTTCACTACGCTCACTCACCTTTATTTAGGTTGGAGCTCGTTCGCTGCGCTCACTTGCCTTCAGGTTAGCTTGTTCGCTACGCTAAGTCGCCTCTAGGTTGAAGTTCGTTCGCTACGCTCACTCACCTTTTGGTTGCAAATTGGCTGTTGTCATAAATAAAAAAAATAATAGTGCTGCACCCTGTTGGTAATCCTTGTAACTTTTAAAACTATTGAACATCATAGAACAGAACCAACTTGTTTAATTGAAACAGCTGTTAAGATTCATTAATTCCTTTTACATATGAAAAATCATAAGGTTAACATGGGAAACTCCAGAGCCACTGGGGCGGAGCCCGAAAGCCCAATCAGAATAAAAACTACTTAGTTTTCCTATTTAATACCCAAAGAATCGGTGTACCGAATTTCAGCCTCCTAGGTAAATGGGAAGTGGGAGAATTAGTGATGAGTGAGTGAGTCAGTGAGGGCTTTGCCTTTTATATATTTAGATTCCACAGAATTTCTGTTTAATAATTATATCAAGAGAATGATCAAAATGTTTATTGCTTCAAGCTAACTTCTCATTCAGTAGATTTGTGCTCGGACTGTTTCCAGACCATATAACCAATTCAATCATAATCCGTCCTCTACCACTAACACTAGCTTTGTATCCGCCTACTATACTATTTACTTTCCATTAACAATACTATTTGGATTATACTCTCTTATGAGGTTTACAAAATTTTTAAATTGGCTCACATTGATTTATGTTTGTGAATAAGATCCTTATTGTGTCAGTTTATTTCTTCGTCTTATTTGTATCGTACAGTATGTCTCTTATATTATATCATATCTCTATTTATTAGTTTGGAAATTAATCAATTTGATAGCTGCAATATTATATTTATTACAGGAATTACGAATGTAGTTTATTGACTTAAATGGGACTGACAAACAACATTTGATGTTTTATTTAGTCAGTGGCGGTGATAAGACAGTGCTGGCCAGCCTTTACAGTTTTAACCAGTTTTATCACTTTTTATTCCATTTTAATAATTTGATCAACAAGACTAGTTTTGACTATTGTGATTTTGACAGTATTTTAAAGAATCTTTTAACATACAACAATCATACATATGGAAATATATTGATGATGTCGTAGCATACAACCCTGTCAAAGTTCTAAGGAGCGAAACTAATTGTTGTACCAGCAAACGTGTTTGGATATGGTAATCATTTTTTTATCAAAAATAAAATTACTTTGTAGCTGTATCCTTACCCTACAATCAATTAAATACTTAAAAGTAAAATCTGTGACAAAACTAACAAAGGTAAAACAAGAAGAACAATCCCAATTTTATGAAAATTTATTCAGTTGAACCGTGCGTTTGAATCTTATAATGTCTCTGTCATTGAATAACAGAGTTGTATAAATAACCAAGCTTTTAAAGTAACTATAAGAATCCAAACAACATAAGAAATTTACTAAATGGTATCACAAGTTATAGAATTTATACAAAAACACAGTTTAGTGATACATCAAATGAATAAATGTTTTTAACTCGAAAAGAAAACTTAAGTCTCTCCAGGAGAGGATGTGAGCTTGGTTAGGCTTAGCTGTAGAGGTCATCGTCCCCGTCATCTTGGAACGTAGGTTGGTCGTTGCCAGGGGCTCCACCGGCATTCTGCGGACCTCCGGAGGGGAATCTGTGAAAACATAGGATATAAGCACTTCAAACAAAGGATCATATTTCAAAAGGTTTTAAAAACTAACAGTTTGATTAATTTGTATGACCTATTCTTAAGGCATACAGCAATTCTCACACAAAAATCTGAGAAGGAATACTTTATGTGTAAATTACATTAAGGAAGAAGGAATGGACACACAACTAACCTACCTGAGAAAAGAGTTTCAGGTAGATGAAAGGTTAAAGAAAGTTCATAGTAACACAATACACTTGATATTTTACCCATACAAGGGGCTTCTACAGAAGGAAGTAGAAACTAAGTTTAAGTTATTTCAGTTATTTGTGTAACCATTCCTTCTTCCTTGATGTGTTCAATAAAACTAGGCAGAATTTGATAAAACATTCAATTCAAAATCACAGCTATATTTGCTGATTGCCTAGGGGCTTACCTGAAGTTGGTGCCGAAGCCACGAGACTGTTGCAGAGTCTGAGCAAACATCTCGTACTTGCGGATATCGTTGTCAGTTACAGAGCGTCGCGCGAACCTCATCGCCTCCTCAAAATGAGCTCTTACGATCTCTGGAACAGGGTCTTCCTCGTCCATCTAGTCGGGAGGTAAAGATATGAAAAGTAAAACATCGATCGAGCAAAATTAATAAATACATTGTTATTATTAAATAAACCACATTATTAGGTTATTGAGGATGGGATATAAAATGAAAAGGAAAATGGAAAAGGAAACCTCTAGTATGGGAAGAGAACAAATTAATTTTTGTATCCAAAGGGAGTTAGAAGAAATCTCAATCATTTTCATTTTAAGATTGATGCAAGTGTTTTTAAAAAGGGGAAGTGGACACAAGTATCAGATCTATACAGAGCTTCCTATAGAGAACAAAGGGATCTTGCCTTGTTCCATGCTAGAGGGCTTTTGTTTTAAGCCTTTACTTAACCACCCCCATTATAAGTAATAAACTGTATTCAGACTATCGTGCACATTAATATGCGTTCCATACATCCATACGTAATGTCTTGTTTCTTATCAATTAATTGGTGATTGTAACTTGTACAATGGTTACGAGATATCAATACTAAGCTACTTAATTTGGCATAAAATATAGCACAACCTTGATAACAAGTATACAAAAACTACATGGGGATGAACAAATGACTTTTTATCAAGGGTGTCTCCTTAACGAGGTTTACAATTATGTATTCAAAGGTTAATCAAGGAAATTTGAAAATTACACTTATTATCAAGGGTTACTTGTTATCAAGGAGCTCCTTATATGGCACTGTATATACTTTAGAGTGTATGGCAAGACAAAGATAGAATCAATATAACCACATTTGTGAGATAAGGACACAAACAAATATTTTGGAAACATAGTATGTTTTATGTGTGGAGTGGAAATGTTTGTGACAGTTTAACAGAACCACAAACTAAAAAACTAGATCTCATAAAAAAAACCTTTCCCAACATAAACAGTATTTTAGATTTCAACCGCATACACAACTTGCTTGAGGAATACATGCTAAAGTAAAATCAAACACGCTTCAAGGTTGAAACGGCACAAGAGTTGTATAAAAACTTACATCCATAACTTGGTTGTTGGCTCGCTCTCGCTCCCGTCTTATCTCTGATTCTATGCACTGTCTGATCGCAAGTTTGCACGCTCTTTGGCAGATTTCTGTGAGATCGGCACCAGAGAAGCCATGAGTTACCTTGGCTAAATATGTGAGGTCTACATCCTGAAAAAATACGCAAAAAATCAACACCAATTGAGAAGAATGCTTAAAGATAAAGACTATTTGTATTATACATGTCGCAACTAGATTTTAATTTCACCGACTCTGTTTTCACCAACATTTACGAATCCATGGCAAGGTAGAGGTTACTGTATGGAGATATCACTTAAAATTTGGGACGACAATAAAGCAGCAGACAAAATTGGCTAGAACCTGATTGACTGAAATTATACTGCTGCAAGAGACTTGACTTGTGAATTTTCCCCTCTCTGTTTTATTACTTGATTCAAGTTATCTTGTTTATAACCCTTTGTTTTTACAGAGTTAATTGTTGGGTCTGACTTAGGGGAGGTACGAATGAGGCATTTAGTTCAAAATTCCTCCGTGAACAGCGCTGTAGTAGAGAGCACTTTGGCAATGAAGGTTTGCTAATCGCAAAAATAGTTCTGTTCATAAAATAAAATTATAAATGTCCCAAATTCAACTTTAAATGGTAGAAAAAGTAGGATAGCAGCTAGCTTACCTTGAAAGTGTGGGTAGGCCATAGAACAAGTAGAAAAATATTTTTCACACAATATTTCGTCCCCTATGGGACTTTGTCAAGTGTAGAGAGAGTTTATAAATCACAAGATGCCATCTTGTAATTCATATCTTGTAATCCATCTTGTAATTTATAAACTCTCTCTACACTTGACAAAGTCCCTTAGGGGACGAAATATTGTGTGAAAAATATTTTTCTACTTGTTCTATGGCCTACCCACACTTTCAAGGTAAGCTAGCTGCTATCCTACTTTTTCTACCATTTAAAATCCTGGCCTAGAGCCTTTCCTTAAACAAAACTAACCCAAATTCAATTTTATTATTTTTTAATTATAAAATTAAACCATGATAACCTAACCGAACTAACCAAACTTGCTGATAAAGAAATAATATAACAAAAGTTTAGTAATCGGAAAAATAATTCTGTTTATTAAATAAAACTAGAATTTGCTCAATTAAAATTTTGTAATGACATAATAATAAAATTAAACTGTAATAACCAAACCAAACCAACCAAACTTGCTGATTATAAAAAAATCTTGGACAAAAAGTTAATGCTATTAGCAGGATTCGAACCAGGGACCTACAGTATATCAGCCTGGCACGCTAACCATTAGACCACCGAGGCCGATGGCTATCTACCGTTTTGTTACGGTAATGGCGTTCCCTCAGCTAATAAGAAGCCCACAGCTGTCATCGTAGCCTCTTCTATACCTCCCCTGAGTAAATACCTTAATTGTTTGTCCAATATATTTCGCCACGGTGTGTGGCATCATCAGGGAAATAGTAGGGGAAGTTCTATTTATATTATAACACACAGCAACCAGCAACATAAAAATGTTGAGTGCATGTCACGACATCTTCACAGACATGCAAGGTCTTTCAAAAATTGCAATAAATATGATTTAACGTATTCAACCTCACCACAAATATTGACAATAGCTATGTCATTTAACATATAATAGGATTTCTATTTGGAGATAGTGGTCTTTTCAATTCATAACAGATAAAATAAGTGTTAAGACAAAAACAAAGTCTTTGAATTAGGCCTCCATACATACTATTAGAGATGAGCTGATTTTAAACTAAAAAATAAGGAAAATCTCCTATAGTTACTATAAAATGCAATTACTTTAACGCAACAAATTTTACAAAGTTGTTGCATTTAGTAACTTACCTTTGCTACAGGAGATTTACGTAGATTAGATTTAAAGATAGCTTCTCTAGACTTCTCGTCAGGCAGAGGAATGTATATAAGCTGGTCTAATCTTCCAGGACGAAGAATTGCAGGGTCAATGATGTCTGAAACAAGATACTACCTTGTAAGAAGTGATTGATATAAAAATCACTAGTGATATAGAAAATTCCAAATAAAAAACAGGCTCATTATAGCTAATTGTATACTTACTAATTATTGTGCGCGGGTATCCAAAAATCAGGTTGGATTCGGTTAGCTTCGGGTATCCAGATCCGAGCACAAATTTGGTATTATATCATACACTATCACTTAAGTATCCAACTTTTGTGGATAGACAATGTATTTTGAAGTTTTGGACTGTGTTGAATGGAGGTTTACATACCTTAAAAACATTAATCCTAATTTAGTCTTACGCGACTAGTTTCAAAAGAACAGTTTTAATGTCAAGCCAGCTTGCTTCATACAATTATTGGAATATCTTGTCATAATCGATACACAAACATACAGCACCATACACGGATACAAATTATAATTCACAAAAGAATGCACAGTGGACCATAACCAGCGTGATGACAGAAACGATGCAACCAAGGTACTCCTGTCAGGTAACATTGACCTTAGAGACGATGAAGCAGCTGATTACAAGCGCCTCTCTGTTATCAATCATCAATCCAATGAAATACTATATTACGGCAAAAATTCAACATGTAATTTAAAATGTCTTGAGGAGGCTCCCTAATAATGTTCTAGAAAGCTACAAAACTTACAAAGCAGCAAAAAAACTATCCTAACTTCATTTTAAATACTTGAATACTTTATTCTGAAATGCAAAGTAAGAAGCTACACAGATCATCTCACTCCGTTCAACACACATCCTTCACTTATATTTGGGTTATAATACGTACACGGGAGGATAATGATTGTAATTACCAGTGGATTAATCTATATAAAGTCACACAAGAAATCCCATGTGTTTCATTTACCTGGTCTGTTTGTTGCTCCAATGATAAACACGTTCTTCTTAGCGCCCATTCCGTCCATCTCAGTAAGGATCTGATTGATGACTCTGTCGGCCGCACCGCCCGCGTCACCTACGTTGCCACCTCTCGACTTTGCGATGGAATCCAGCTCATCAAAGAACAACACACAAGGGGCTGCAGCCCTGGCCTAAGAAGGAAAATAGTTATTAGTATAAGGAAATAGACTATCGGTATATAGTAAAGTCAAAAACCTAAGACTATTCTTTTTTTTATAAAGCTTATAACGGCAAATATTATTTTATGACATTAGATTTCAGGTTCACAGAAACTATGTTTATATGGATAATTCTATGTGGGACAATTAGAATAGATATTTTTCTAGTAACTTGTTTTAAGCTACTTTACTACTTCCTTTAAAACATTAAAATACCAAAAAATCCTTAGGTAAAACTAAATAAGTCTACATCAACATTTGAATCTAAGTAAACAATTATCTCTTGATGAAATAAATTGACTAATACATTAACTAAACATCTAGTTAATTTGTACTAGTCATACTAGTCAATCATTTTCATTCCATCCTTCTTTGTTTTCCCCCAGCCAAGGTTTAGGGAAAAACTTAAGTTTATAATGGTCAAATGATTTTATTAATTAGTTTATTTCTTAACCAATTTTTTTGGGCTAACTTTTCAAAACTAACCTGAATAACCTAACCTCAACCAATTCAAGTCAGTAACAATCAATAGTGGATAGTCAAGTTGTGCAACAAAACGCATAATTTCCCACTACTAACCTTGTCGAAAATATCTCTGACGTTGGCCTCGGACTCTCCGAACCACATGGTGAGCAGCTCCGGTCCCTTGACGGAGATGAAGTTAGCCTGACACTCGTTAGCGATCGCCTTGGCCAGCAAGGTCTTACCGCAACCCGGTGGGCCGTAGAACAGCACTCCGCGTGATGGCTGCATGCCGAACTTGAGGAACTTGTCAGGATGTTCCACGGGGTACTGTACCAACTCCTGCAACTCCCGCTTGACGTTCTCCAGACCTCCGACGTCTTCCCAGGTGACGTTAGGCACTTCTACGACTGTCTCTCTCAGCGCGCTCGGGCTGCTCTTACTCATGGCGTACTGTGTACATTAATCAGAAGAGTTAACATGTAAGATAACTTGTATAATGATCTCATTTATAATAGCAAGGAATTTAAATGCACTAACTCAATCAATATTCAGGAGTCATAAAATAGAAATATTAAATTACTTTGTGAAACTACATTGGCAACAACATGTTTAAATCACTTTCAAAGATTACGCAAGAATGCATAAGTTTTGTAACAATTAGATTTAACCGCTGATGAAATATAATATTTACTTAAAGTATTTAGATTAAGAGTAGCCTGGATTAAAAGTGTATTTAATAAATCCCCAAATCTTGAAAACTAAACCACAATTTTTCAATTTAAATTAGGAATTAAAATTATAAAAACTGAACTAAAACTATATTGTATGAGGCCAAGGTCACCACATTCATACCTACCACATCACTACTGACTGTGTGATTTCAAAACCTGTTATACTTAAAGCAAATATGTTTTATAAGCAGACTAAGCTATTGATTTAGTGTAAAAAAATATATTTCTCAACACTCCCCTTTACAATCTAGTGGCATCCTAGTGAACACAGTCACAGTATTATAAGACATTCATCTATCTCTTAATTGACTCACCCTAAAGTCGTCCATTGTGACTGCCAGAGAGTTGAGAACCTCAGCGTCGATCTGATCGTCTTCCAAATCGATCAGGTCCATCTTCTCTCTGATCTGTTGTAAGGCAGCCTCGGAACAGAGAGAGGCCAAGTCAGCACCTACGTGACCGTGCGACTCTGCTGCTATCTGGAATGTAAAGAACGTATACAATACAAATTCCCTTTTGTGTCATAGGGACGCTAGGCTCTAACTCAATTTACTTACTTCAGGCGGAAGGGTTAGACATTATCATATCACATAGCTAAAAGCTGGTATTTGCTGGATTTGATCTCAGGACCTTTGACCAAAACTCTACTACCATACAAATTTCCTCACCATTGGGAGAAATTACTAGCCTACATTGTTCAAAACTGTTACAATTTTCATAACATTTGATAATTGTAAGTTAACTACAACCACAACAAACCTGTTCTAAATCTACGTCATCAGCCAGTTTCATGTTCTTGGTGTGGATACGCAACACCTCCAACCGGCCGGTGGCGTCAGGGATGCCGATGTCAATCTCTCTGTCAAACCGGCCGAAACGACGCAGCGCCGCGTCGATGGAATTTGGTCGGTTCGTGGCTGCCATCACAATAACGTGAGAGCTCTGTTTCAGGCCGTCCATCAGCGTCAGCAGCTGGGAGACGATACGACGCTCCACCTCTCCGTGAGTCTGCCGAAGGTGAAATCAAGAATCGTTGAAAAACATCAAAGTTACAATTAACACTTCCTCATTATAGTTGGAAGAAGTCGGTACCTCAAGCTTAAAGTTTACAATGCAATGATAATATTTATATTTTACAAGAATCTCAACAATTAAAGTAATTTATTGGGTTGTGCACTTTATTTCCAGTAGCCTACTATCAGCTTAGTTTTTTTTAATCAGTAATAAATGTATGGTTTTGTTCCAGCTTTGTCAAGTATGTGTCTATGCTCAGTAATATTTTACCATACCCCTTTTACATTATTTTAGGCGGTTTGAGGGGAAGTTCCCCCACAACTTTTTTTCTGCTTAATATGTCAGCTGATTCAACGTTTTGAAAAATCTCAGCTGTTGAGCTATGTTTTATTGGTACGATCAAAACATGGAGGGGATATATTTCTTCCCCTAAACCGCCTAAATTTGAATGGAGTACAACTTAAGTTGTGGTCCTGTCTTTGGAGTGGGTAACTTATCAACCATGAGTATTTTAAAGGTCATAAAATCATTTACAAAAAACTATTAATTAAGTTAGGTAATTGACAAAAATAAATTAGTAGTATATTTAAGGATATAAAATTATTTAAAAAAAAAAACTATTTTATGTTGATTGACACAAATTAAATGAAATTTTTACCTTTTCTCTCTTAGGAGCAATAGCGTCCAACTCATCAATAAATATAATAGCAGGAGCGTTCTTGTCTGCTTCCTCAAAGGCTTTGCGAAGGTTGCTTTCCGACTCACCGGCCAGTTTGCTCATGATTTCAGGACCTAAACACAAAACATAATTTGCCAGTTAATATTTTTGGGGCTTCATAAGGTACAAACACAACCTTTTTTTGCAAATGCACAGCCTATTGGACTGGCACTGTTAAAATCACTTGTTTTGGCTTAGGCCTATCCAATTACATCGGTGATTTTTTAACATTGCAATGTAGATCATATAGTTTACGAGAAAAGTGTTTATTGTGTTTCTTGTTTGTATATTGCAGAATGACCAAAATACATAGCCTAAATGGTCTAATTTAATAAATGGCTTAATCTTACTAATATTATAAATGTATGTAAATAAAGGGTTAAGGCTAATAATATGTATCTTGCATTTAAATATTGTATTCAACAACAGATGTATTGTCTTGTTTATATTGATAGACAACAATACTACCATCAGTCTCATAAAAAAAAAGGAAAATCAGAACAAAAACTAAATATTGTTAAACCAGTATCCCCGCAAAAATTGCTCCACTTACCATTGATAAGGAAGAAGAAAGCGCCGGTTTCATTAGCGACGGCGCGGGCGATCAGTGTTTTTCCTGTTCCAGGTGGTCCGTACAGCAGTATACCGCGCGGCGGCTTCACTCCGATGGCCTTGAACAGACTCGGATGACGTAACGGCAGCTCAACCATCTCCTTGATTTGTGCCAGCTGTTTGCGGCAACCACCAATGTCGTCGTAGCCTACTGCGTTCAGTGCCTCCTCTTCTTCCTGTGATGACGATTATAACATTAGTATTAGGCTACCAAATTTAGGTACTTGTTGAGAATAAATCCATATATATTGCTTCCAGTAGGATAATTAATCAACTATCCTACAGTTGTTACCAGACAGCGTAGAAAAAAGTAGGACCATCAAATAATAAATGTGTTAAAAAAAATAGACTAGGCTAAAATATTCCATATCTAGTCCCATTCCAGAACAAGTCTACAGACTATGTTACTAACCTCTCGCTTGATCGGGTCACCTTCACAGTGTATAACTGTGTCGGGAGCTACGATGCAGTAAGGCGAAGGGTCGGTTTCCACCACCTTGAACTCAACAGCACGCATACCACCTCGGACAATGAATGCGTCTCCCTTGTGGATAGGTCGGTACGCCTCCAGGAAGTATGGCTTCAAATATACTTCAAATAGGTTTCTGTAGAAGAAAACATTATTACATTCTGAACATATGAATCAAAGTAGGCTAAATATAATATGTAAATTGTGTAAGTACGCTTAAGGGATTGCTCTACGAAGACGAAAAGTTATACAGTATAAAATAGGTTTACGTACCTATTTAATACTTAACTTAAATCAATCCTGGAGGCAATGCTGAATAAAAAAAACTTTTAGTTACCCATCATACTTTTTATCACCCAATAATTAATTCTATAGTTTTAGCCACCAATATTTGCACCAAATATCTTGTAAACTAGGCCTAGGAGTAGCTAAATTTATATTGAAAAAACATAGTTGATTGAGCCACTCGCACAGAGCGCTGCAGTCTAAAATGCTAGGTACTCCTTTAGTTTGGTTTTGTAGCAACTTAGAGATACTACAGTTCAATAAGAAGTCAACCCCATTCTTTTTGGATATAGGTAAATCAATAAATTAATTGTCTGGTTAACCTAGTGGTTCTAGTGCTCGCCTTCAAATCTTAAGGTCGCTTGATTAAACAGACTCAGATTCCATTGGTCATTGGCTATCTAGTAATGACGCTTTCTAACATGTTACCATTAGATAGTTACAAGGTCGGGGGTTTTGGACTGTCCCCTTATGAAACTGTAAATACCAATGGCGTGTACAGGTGAAGTTAAAAAAAATCTGTAATCTACATCACATCAGCATATATTAAACTATGCTCATTCAAATCTGACTAAAACTTCGGGAAATGTAACTTAGTTCTATCCATTAAGATTTTACCCGGTGAGTCCTTCGACAGTGTCGTCAATGGGAAGAACGTGGATGCGTTTCCCGTACTTGACGTCTGGGCACGGCTGAACTGACACAACGTCCGACAATCTCACTCTCAAATTGTTCCTCACGACTCTGTTCATTCTTATTTTCTCGTCGGAACACGTCTCGTCCGACAAGACGATGCACACTGTCTCCTTCCTGCGTTTGCCCTTAAGTAAAACTGTGTCTCCTCTGAACAACTGAAGCTGGTCCATCTTGGCCTGGGATTAAAAGACAGATAATGGTGTTTTGTAGGGTCAGTCCATATCAAATCAACACACTTTTAACATATTTTTTACCTTACCATCTTAGATTTTGATGAATTTGGTATATAGGTTACCTTTATGAAGACTAAAAAAAATACCAAATTTCAGCTCAATATCTCAACCCGTTCCCAAAATACGGCCATTTAAAATTTTCAAAAAACGGTCAAAATCGTGCTGCGGGAAAACTTTAAAATAGTCATAACTCTTCTCATGTTTAAGCTAGAAACATGGGAGAGGTGTCATTGTTTAGCCCTTTTTATGCCCTTTCTAATGATATGCAACACATAATAGGTTATGAAAACAAAAATTTTGTCAAATTCAAAAATAAATTTTTAAAATAAAATATTTTGAAAAACACATATTTTATTTTTTTCAAAAAATTATTTTAAGTTTGTCATATTATCACTAATGTGTACACCAAGTTTGGTTATGGGATTGCAATGGGTTCATGGTTAAAATAATGTTTTATTAGTGGTGGTTTTTACTACATCAACGCAATTTAGGTTAAAATAAAATAAAAATCTCATTAAAAAAATCTGGGTGGATAAAGATCCATAGGAAAATAGTTATAATATCAATGTTACCAGTTATTAACTTATTGAAATTAACTAACTGGAAAAACCTACAAAGTATATCCCTTGTAAATATTCTTAAAATAATAACATGATAAAAAAATGGATTTTATAAAATTAGCTTAAGGCGTATTTAGATATATTTTTTTGCTTCCGACATTTTTCATTTATATTAATTCATATATTTAATTGCAAGCTGAGTAATACTGTTTCCAGCAATTGTGCCATTATCATCTCTTGTTTCTACCTGTAGGAAGTTTTCATGTCTCTACTTGTTTTTTCAAGTTGATACAAGCTCAAGTCCACTAGCACTACAGAGTTTGTTCAGTTTGCATTTGAAGTCTGTGGTGCACACATATCACAAGAGATGATAATGGCACAATTGCTGGGAACAGTATTACTCAGCTTGCAATTAAATATATGAATTACCGTAATATAAATGAAAAATGTCGGAAGCAAAAAAATATATCCAAATACGCCTTAAGCTAATTTTATAAAATTCATTTTTAGCGAATTTCCCATATAGGAAATAAGCTATTACCGTAGGTCTCATGGTAAGACCTAGACCCGGGACCGATTTACTTTTTCGTTTTGAGGTCCCCAGAGGCCAAAAACACCATCCGTTCAAATTCATATATATATATATATATATATATATATATATATATATATATATATATATTGTTATTGTATACATCAATGAGGGCTACTTTAAATGTTACTAAGCAAATCAAAATACCACAGTACCCTAAAAACATTTTATTTTATAATACTTACATGTTTCGGACATTAATGCCATGATCACAGTATAGTATATAACCTATTAGTTTCTTTTATTTACAAACATTATTAGATATTTCTTATTAAAGAACAGGTGTTAATTTTATATTAAGGGAAGGAGGTGTTTTCTTTAAGATGTATAATTTCATTGAATATTACGTTTTGATTTTGAATTTGTGTCAAGTTTAGTAAATTGTCTTTGTCATTAATATGATGAGTATAAATATAAAAGTCTTCCTTTGTATTCATTTTTTCACCTTTATTTTCAATATCCAGAATGTGCATATTTTTATTCATATTTGAGTATGTATGGTCGGTCTGAAGTATATGTTCGGCGTATGAGGATTTTTGTGTTGTCATATTGTTTGATCTGATTGCCTGTATATGCTCTTTGTATCTGACGTCAAATGTTCGACCTGTTTGACCAATATAGTATTTTTCACAGTTGTTACATGATAGACAAAGACAATTTACTAAACTTGACACAAATTCAAAATCAAAACGTAATATTCAATGAAATTATACATCTTAAAGAAAACACCTCCTTCCCTTAATATAAAATTAACACCTGTTCTTTAATAAGAAATACCTAATAATGTTTGTAAATAAAAGAAACTAATAGGTTATATACTATACTGTGATCATGGCATTAATGTCCGAAACATGTAAGTATTATAAAATAAAATGTTTTTAGGGTACTGTGGTATTTTGATTTGCTTAGTAATATATATATATATATATATATATATATATATTTATATATGTGTCCGTTAGCGTGATAACTCGAGCAAAATTGATCCGATTTTGATGAAATTTGGTACAAACGTGTAAACCTACATTTATTCGAACGAGTTCGCGAACCAGCATAATCGGACCATGGGATCAGGGGTTTATGGGGGGTTTTATGGGATAAAAATGGGTTTTTCTCATTTTTGACCCTAAAAACTTTAAATTTCTAAATTTCTCTCTATACCAGTTTGAAGAGCTTTAAAAAACAAATAATTTAGTATATTGAAGTGTTTTTGAATGTTCATTGACTACGGAGAAAATTAAAAAAAATTGTAAATTTAAAATTCCCATGTATTTTTATGGAGAATAAATAAACTGCAATTTCTTTCTAAACTATTTTGTAGAGCTTAAAAAAACAAATAATTTAGTATATTGAAGCGTTATAATGCGCCTAATAGTTACGGGTGAATCTCACTGAATAATATAATATCAACAAAATAAAATTTTTTAAATAATTTTTGTTTTTCCACTTTATTACTTACCTGCACCAATTGTTATTTCATCAGGAACAATGTTTGATAAGCAGCAGAGCTGAATTTCACTTATTTCTAGATTTTTTATGTGTTTTTAGGTGAAGAGACTCTTAATAAAGTCCAGTCGTTCCCGTAACATAATGTTTAAATATAAAGTAATACACAATAAATTAGACTCAGTGGGATCTTAAATCCAAATCTAAATGTAATAGACAGTTTAACTAAAGTAAAAAAAAATATATTTAATACATTTAAAGTAATATATTAACAGTCAAACTCAACCTAACCTAAAATTGTTGGTTTGACAAACATAACTTTCATATTAAATGTTAAGCGGTTCGAAGTTATATGAAACTTATATCAAGGAGCGAACTCTGAAATATTGGGAACAATAAAATTCCATAAAGAATAATTTATGATGAAAAAATAGCGATTTATCTCTGATCTTGTGAGCGGGAACGACTGGAACTTGCAAGGAACGACTGGCCGAGATGAGGAACGACTGGCGCTGCTAGACTGTGAACGATTAACGCAGACTCTGTTATAGGCCTACTACACCTGCAACTAAATTTATTCTATGGGTAGAGAATAATAATAACAAATTCTGAGAATACGAAAACATTGTATTGACTATAGAATGTGTTATTGACATTTTGGATTACAAAACATTGGATTGTTTTCACTAGCGTGATAACTACTCATTTTGAAAATTAAGAATACAAATAACTATTCAAATTGTAATACAATAGTCATTGGACATCTAATATTAACATAACATATTATGAATAAAACAAATTATTGTATTTTGGTAAATATGCAATACAATGTTATATAGTGTGTCTGTTTGTGAAATTAGTCTTCAAGGAACTGGATACCTTTACAAATAGTCCTTGTATATAAATAATTACACAAGCTTTTGTTTTCAGTTTTTGGTTTCTTTGGTAATTATTGCACCTATGTGTTACTACATAGAAAAACGAAACAAATAACGATTAAATATATACATGAGGTACTCGGTACAAAACTTTTGTTACTAAATAGAAAAACAAAACAAATAACGATTAAATATATACATGAGGTAGGCCTACTCGGTACAAAACTTACATCACAAACATTGATGTAACGGTACTTAAGGTTCAAAATAAATGAAAATAGAAGCTAAAGCAGCAAAGTTAAATACTTAACAAGTTCTTGACACATTTTTTTTCATTTTTAAAACAGAACAAACAGGAATGTGTCACAAATGGTGCTGCGCTAGAATTCATAAAATTCGCGGATTCCCTTCATTACAATGTTTGGTGGAGGTAATATGGCCTTAATCTGAGTTAAGTGCACTGAGTAACGATCTGTTTCGTTAATCACAAACAAATCACGGCCATCATGAACTTTTTTCATAAACAAAACGTCAATTTCCTGGTTACTTAATTTACTCTGGCACACGCCAATATACAGTTTGGTATCAGAACATTTTTTACCTTTAATCATGTATTCTACAACTACATGAACACCCGATGTAAGTTCACTTTCAACGACTGGTTTGGTAGCCATGCCTGGATAAATTGACTTCAAGTCCTTCACATCATGATGAGCTGATGATGTAGTTGGCTGTTGGTCGTCATCATCGTCTGATGAAGTGAAAACCTCTTCAACAAGTAATTTTCTTTTCTTCTCAGCAATAACCGGCCTTTGTTTATTGCCCGTGTCAATGTCAAAAGTAATTTTGCTGAAGTGGTAGTGACTACAAGCAGCATCAAGAGGACATTCGAAACAGGATAAAGTACGAGTGAACATGGGACTTCCCTTTGTCAAAGTCACTTGGTGAACTCTCATTACACCTTTTATTTCTGGTGGTTTCAAGTCTGCTACCACAGATTTTAGCCTTTCTACATCTGCAGAAGGTACCTCAAAAAGAGTGACGTTTGTGTGTGTTTTTTTAAGAGCTTCGACAAAATCATGCGCACACGTTATGTCCACTCCGTGCAGAACATTTTGGTCTGCTCCTCTCTTTAAGGTCCCCCCCACGCCATCCATTGGACCCTTACCATGGCCCGCTTCAGTAAAGTTCCAAGATAGGTTTTTAAGATTTGGGAAGTACTGGGGCATCATGGTCTTAAACAGGAAGAGGTTAAATCTGTTTCTGTACTGGCTTGTTGGGCTGTCAGAAAAGAAGTGGACAGTGTCAACGTTAGGGAACTCGCTGGAAGCTTTTTCTAGTACAGGCTTCATGTGAGCCCAAACTGCATGTGCCTGATGATCAACATTATCAGACACAGTAGCGAAGCACTCGGTTTTAATTTTCCCGCCTACTGAGGCGTACATAACACCAGTGTTCAAGCTCAACTGTTTTTTTGACGCGCCAAAGTGAACAGATTGGACTTCTTTGTCGTATTTACAAACATAGTTTTCAGAAAAGTCGATCCTAAAAATCAACTCTCCCGATTTTAGGGTCGTCGTTTTGCCTTTAACAGCAGCTGCTTGGTGATATTGATAGAACACATGTTTTTTAAAAGTGTCAAGTTCCTGTCTTAATATATTCTTCATTTCGGAAACTTTTTTCCTCTGAATAGATTTCACAGTTTTTTTTATGGTTTTCTTTTTCAGCTTTATGATTCTTTCCTCATGAACATTTAACCATTTTGCGTATTTAACGGTAAAATCATCTTCATAATGAAATTCTACTTCATTTTTGTTACATTTTTCACATCGGCCAAGCATGCAGCTTTCATTATCTATAGAACATACTAAAGATGCTAACAACTCTTTAGATGTTCGTGTTTTAATAGCTTTGACATTTCTCAGGGCACTTACCAGTAAATCCATATTAGAATGCTTGATACAAGCGCACGTGTCCCTATCGGCCATTTTAGGAAAGTTTACCCAAAATGGTCGTGAGCGATAAAACGTTGTGCGGGAAACTTTAATGTTGGTTTCCTTCATGAATTTTTTGTGTAGTGTGTCAACGGTCTCAAGAAGAACTCGCCGCTGTTTGACAATATGACCTTTCTTCACCCTGTCTTTTTTTCCAGGGCACATCCTGGAGTGTCTGTCGTCTTCAAAAAAGTTTGCGATCGTGTCAGACAGTTTGTAACGGATCTTTCTAGGGGGGGGTCTTGTGTTTTCAAATGACGTACTTGGGAGAGGATCTGAAAGTCTTTTGTTTTCTGCGTAGGGTACCAAATTCTTAAAATACTTCTGAACGCGGTATTTTTTAAACACCTTGTTACCAATCACTTTGTGTAAAATCTGGTTTTTATTTTTTGTTTTTGCTACTTGTTTCACTTGTGTTTCTATCTGTTTTTTAAGAGTAAGACCTAAAAATAATTGTTTTTTGATATGAGGGGATACTTTTTCCCTCCCTACGATCTCTTTCAGCTCTTTTCTCGGCGAGGGAGAGCCCGTCGCCACAGAAGATTTCTTTTTCTCTCTATGCAATCGTTTTTTATACTTCGCGATTTTACGCTCCAATTCTTTAATTTTTTCAGTTTGTTTTTTAACGACGCGGTAGACTTTTGCCTTTTCTCTTCTGACTTGTTTGCGTCCCCTTTTCTTCTGCGCTGACTCCTCTTCAACACTATTCGTTGGGGTATCTTGAAGCATTTCTTCATTTTCTCTCTTCTTCTTTTGCTCTTGTCGCCTCTTCCGCCAGTACTTCCTCATTTGCCGCTGCTCCCTAGGGTTCATGTCCCCTATTCTTTTGACTTTCTTTTCCTCCCTCAATCTCGCCATCCTCTCGCGGTCATATTTTCTTTTAGCTTCTTTCTGCTCTTCGGTTTTTTTCTCTTTCTGCCTTCTTTTGCTGGCTCTCCATAGCTCCCTCTGCCTCTCAGAGCTTTCCTTTGAAGTTCTGGCCATTTTCCATTCAAGTCCCCCTGAAAAAACAACTTTTGAAGTGACCGCCTAAAACGCGTATAAGTATTAGCGTATTAGTATAAAAAGCCTAAAATTACTACAAAACATTAAGTTTACTAGAGTTGTGAAAAAAAAATTACAGTTTGTGTCCTGAAAAGTTTTATTTTCCTTATTATTAGGAGAAATAAGCAATTCTGTTCGTTAAAATAACAATAATAATTTTGCGTCTAAAATTTAAAAAAAATACTATCAAAGTATATTTTAATGTTTAACAATGTAATCTATTGTATAGAGGTTCATCAAATATTGACTAATGCATTTATTCAAGCAAAGGAAATATGAAATTTAATGGGATCAAATACGATAATAGTTCCCAGTCCAGTCGTTCCCGCACCAGGTCCAGTCGTTCCTTATAGCCGGTCGTTCAATCAGGAACGACTGGCGCGGGAACGACTGGCGGTTTTCGTACATAACCTTGTTTTGCCGCCAAACGCTTCAAGTAGGGAGCATAAGAATTTGAGGTTATGTCTTGGACCGGCATTTGCTGTTACGCAACAGAGTTCTTCTTTATTCCTAGCATCGAAGTTTATAATAATGTGAAGGAACGACTGGATGCGTAATTAAGGTACTGTATGATTCTTACCTGTTTATTTATTAATTTGCTGGAAACCGTTGCTCACTTGTACTTCAAATCACTCTCCAAATCAACTTACAACTTAGTACGACTGTCGCCAACCTCAGACGCGGGAAATTCTCCCGCGTTTTTTTTTTTATAACCGTTCCCATTTTAGTCGTCTTTGGTATACCGTCCTCCAAGGACTGTCACAATTACAACAAAAATATGATATTTTGTTGTTTGATCTCTTTGAACTGTCAATTATCTAGAACAGCAGACCGTATTGTCTTCTACAACTGTTTAATTCGTTCAACTGGAGCAGTGTTGAATTGTTTGTTTATACTTTAACATTGTGAGGAGCAGTAAATGACAAGGAACGACTGGTGTTTTACTGTTGAATAAGGCATTTTACATAAAATTAAATAATTATTGTCGTCTTAAACTATGTTTAATTCAAAGGCAGGTGGGGTTAGAAATAAAACAATACACTATAGTTAAAAATTATTTTTATTTTTTTTATTTTGGCAAGAAGGACTTAAATTTTATCATTCAGTGAGATTTACCCTTACGGAAAAAATTCCAAAAAATTGTAAATTTAAAATTTCTATGTTATTCTTATGGAGAATAAGTACTGTTGTAGTTTGCTTGTTTATTAACATATTTTGCCCAAATTTGGAAAATGTTTTTATTTCTTACCAACTATTAACATTTTACATAAAAAACACTTTTACCCTCCCTGTTGCAGCAAACCTAAATATGTTTTAAACTGATTCTTTTTAAATAGGGAATAAATGTAATATTTTTAAGGAGACATTTTTGTGTAAATCCATTCAGGGAAATGGAAATTCGCTTAGTCTGCAGGTTTGCTGCGGCGGGGGTATTTTATCATGTTATTATTTTAAGAATATTTACAAGGGATGGATATACTTTGTAGGTTTTTCCAGTTAGTTAATTTCAATTAGTTAATAACTGGTAACATTGATATTATACCTATTTTCCTATGGATCTTTACAGATTTTTTTAATGAGATTTTTATTTTATTTTAACCTAAATTGCGTTGATGTAGTAAAAACCACCACTAATAAAACATTATTTTAACCATGAACCCATTGCAATCCCATAACCAAACTTGGTGTACACATTAGGGATAATATAACCAACTTAATATATTTTTTTGAAAAAAATAAAATATGTGTTTTTCAAAATATTTGATTTTGAAAATTTATTTTTGAATTTGACAAAATTTTTGTTTTCATAACCTATTATGTGTTGTATATCATTAGAAAGGGCATAAAAAGGGCTAAACAATGACACCTCTCCCATGTTTCTAGCTTAAACAGGAGAAGAGTTATGACTATTTTAAAGTTTTACCGCAGCGCGATTTTGACCGTTTTTTGAAAATTTCAAATGGCCGTATTTTGGGAACGGGTTGAGATATTGAGCTGAAATTTGGTATTTTTTTTAGTCTTCATAAAGGTAACCTATATACCAAATTTCATCAAAATCTAAGATGGTGAGGTAAAATAGGTGTGTTGATTTGACATGGACTAATAAATTTTTAATTGTTTTATTAGAGATCACTTTGAAATTAAATTGTAAGACGCACTCAAAAGGTTTTCATAATTAAAACTAGCCTACAGTGAAATATTCTCAGAGAACTTCATTATTTTGTAGGATAAAATGTTTAGCTTATATTTTACTCTTGGCAAACATTTGTTTTGATTTAACTCTATCCATTTGTTAAAAAAATAATAGATTAGTATCTTAGATTAGATTACGTTACGTTCAGATTTGTACAGGATTCATTTATTAAATAAAGAGAAATAAAAGTTACAATGAACAATTTACTAACAAACAAGTCTTTTCCACAAAAGAGTACATTCCACGAGCATGTAGTTTATTCAGAGAAATAATTCCATAAGTTAGTTTAGTTAGTGTTTGTGATTCTTGTTTTCTTTCTTTAACAAAGCTTATTTTGATAGCCTACCAATTAAAAATATCTTAATCATAAATTGTAGAAAATTTGAATCACAATTAGGCCTACCTGCGACAAAGCAACGACAGAGTTGTCATCATTTACAGCCTCCTCAACGATCAGTCTGTTAGGCTTGTCTTTTTTCTTCAGGATTGCTGTTGCCAAGTCATCAGGACTGTAACAAACCGCGTAATATAGTAAGATCATGAAACATTATGATTAATTACTAAACAATATTAATTCCTACGCTCATCTTTCACTCATATTTGGGTTAAAATACGCACATAGTGGCGTCCCCATCTTAAATAATTGATAATTACCAAAAATATTTTAGGGGAGATAATAAGATAACATGTAACACATTTTCATAGTATAATTATCAATTAATTGAGATGGGGACAACACCTAAGTTTGTATTTTATTATGAGTACGAATGATGAGTGTAGAATGTTGTGATGATCTGTGTAGCTTTGTTACTGACTAAGATCAGCTGTTTCATCAGCCTGGATCAAGCTCAGTGATCAGTGACAGCTGGATCCAGTTTTGAACCATCAAAAAGCTAATTGCTTTTTAGTCGCATTTAGCAACAAACAGCCTAAAATTGCAACAATACGCCTAATTCAGCTGTTACAAACTCTCAAACTTTTTATTTATTTACAGTAACACTTAAAAAACCATGTCATTAAACTGTATTTGAACAAAAAAAGACTCAAGACTCATCAATTATATATGAATATAGCCTATAACAACATCATTCTCATATATTTACCAAAAACTTGATTTGAAAACAGGTTTCAATCTCTAGATTTATTAGAAACAAACATGACACCATTGCATGTAATATAACATTGCTACTAAGGAAAAATTGAGATAGTTTGAATTTTGTTTACCTATTCATCAAAATTGCTACTTTTTTAACTGGAGAAAACAGTTCACCTTAAAGAAAATTCTTGCTGTGTATGGTGTAATAAATAAACGAACATCATTATGCTCACTATTGCCGATACATGCTTGTCGTCACCTCCTTTGCACCGAGTTACTGCTACAGTTTGCCCAGAGCGTTTAAAACTAATATTGCTGAGCCTTGGTTTTCAGAATAGCTTCAGTAGATTGAAGATTTTTGTAAAATTAAATTCATAAATGAGAGTTAAAGAAAAAGGACGAGGTTAAAGTCAACATTTATGAAGCATGGTTTACAATTAATGTTCAAGTAGGCCTAATTTTGACTATTCATTGTCGCTGGTAATTAGTCATGTTATACCTATATTAAAACTTTTTTTATTTCACGATTCTGAATCAACCACTTGACAGATATTCAAAATTTTTGGGTTGAGAGAAAGATAATTTTAAAGGAAGGGAATATCAAAGCCTTTTTTGTCGAAGTTTTAAATTTGTTTGTCTAGCAGCCCACACTAACAATTTACATTCGTTTCACTGCTGGTTGAACTAACAGCTGGTTTCAAACTATGTTTACAAAATTGTTTATTTGTTTACAAAAATATTTATCGTCATGTGATGTCTGTGTTTGCCTGTACATACTATTTTTTCACTTTAATTTTATTTTTTTCAACTGTAAATGATCTGTGTTAAGTTATCAGGAAATGTGTAATTTTGAACTATAGCCTACATCTCAAACACTTATAATCAAGTTTTGTCGTAAATACAATCTGGGTTTAAGTAGCCTAGCCTATATCTTTTAAGTTTATACCATGAAAATTGTATTTTAACTCATGTTTGATAAATATTTTTCCAGCAAACTATCGCTTAATCGTGTAAGATATAAATGGTTTATGTGTTAATAAACTTACTGCTTTTTCTTGATGTTCGAATATGTGTAGTCGGCATAACAAAATTTTGTTTAGTAATGAAAATGTCAACTGGTATAGAATACTACATGGCCTATGCTAACTGGTCCGTAGAAAACTATGCAATAAGCTGCAGGGTGTCAGTAGAAACCAAAATTGATTCCTAACATACCTACTATCCCAATAGTACTGTATAGTTCAGAAACTTGGACACTGTAACTTATAAAACCAAAATACCTTACAGCTGAGTTTGAGAATAGAGTGTAGAGAAAATATACCCAGTTCAAGATAACGGAGGTTGAGATATGAAAGAAGCGAGAGCTAAGAGAAGTATTAACACCCAGGTATAGGGATGTCTTCCAAAAGTAAGCCTATAAGGCTCAGATGGGCAGGCTATGCGTGGTAAAAATTCACGTGGTCTGCAGGTTTGCTGCGCCCGGGGTATTTAAGTATGAAACCTTTTTATAGGTTTTACGTATAGGTAGGCTGAGTTAAGTTTATGTATTAAAATTAAATTAGATGAAATTTGATGTTTATTGCCATTAAACTCATCAGGCCGACAGGCATCGGCAAGTTAACACAATAAAAACAATTAGGCCGATGCAACAAATTAAGGAACTATTTGAGCTTTTCTCAGATAGGCTAGCCTAATACAAGATATAAATTGTGGAAATTATTTTTTAGCCCATGCGAACTATGGTGACCATCAACATCCAAAGTGGACGATTGCAGCCTAATCGTGAGTGAACGCTACCTACTTAAGCTACTGGGTCTAAGCTTACATTAATTAATTATCTTTATTAATGTTTATTTTCATTAAAATAATAGCAAGTTACCAATAAATCAATATTGTGGCCTTGAATTGGCAAGAACTTAAACAGGAAAATATATTTAGGTACCGTAGGCTAGACCTAAAAACGCTGATAAAGCTGGCTCTACGACTAGGCCTACCGCAACAAAAACCAACGCAAAAAATATCTTACAATAATGGCAGAGGTAGGCCTAATTATTTTCCGATAAAATTAGGCCAAAAAACTTAGGTTACAGCACAACCTGACTTTGCTACTTGATTGTGGTAAAAGCTTCTACAAAAACAATGAAGCTGAAAATTTGTGACACATTTACATGTTATTGGGTTACTTAACTATTATTACAAGTAAGTTACACAGGTTAATGGGTAAACAATGGGTAAACACTAAGTTCAAACTTAAAAGCATTTTAATTAATATTTTTACATACGGTAACTTAACTGAACTTAAAACAGTTCACATCAAGGTTTTTAATGTGTTCCAAATGAATTGCTTATTATTTTGTTGTTAAAATGCAATACAACTTAGGCTAATTGGGTAGGTAAGAAACATTTACCATGCGTAAGCCCTTGCCTACGAACGATAGGCTGGTGCAATCCAGGGTTTTAAGTTACTTAAGTTATAAAGCCCACTTAATTTATCCCCAGCTAATTTTCTTGTTTCATATCAAATATCCCCTCCCCCATATCTTGCCATGAAAACTTAGCCCAACATCGGTTTCCCTAACTTAGAAATTTGTTAAACCTCCCTAAATACATAGTAGAGTCATAGGCTAGGCCTAAAGCCGCGTTAACACCAGAGTTAGGAACGGGTGTTTACAAAAGAAATTTTGTTTCTCACAAGAAGTCGGTGAGGATCAAAGGGTGTTCCAAACGGAAAAATGTTTCTGTAGCCTACTTCTACGCTGTTAACACTTCCTCGCTACCCCCTGCACCTACCCACCACAACGTGACTACAGGCCGCGCCCCCTTACGAGAACTGACCTCGTGTGCTCAGCAGTGATTAACTCAGATTGTTTCCAAGAAAATCAAAGAAAAGTGCACTGAGTTCAGTGTTGTAAACTTTTGTTTTCGAAACCTTTGTTTCATAAACAAGTGTTACGAACAAAAAGTCCCGAACATTTTGTTCCAAACTCCAGTGTTAACATGGCCTTAAGTGCAACTAAATTACCTACATAACAAAGACCTAAGTTATTTGACGAGAAACAATGCTAGCCTACTGTAGGCTATAACTTAACTTATATAGCATTGTTGTATAGAGTATTAATTATACAGAATCTTATGAAAAAAAATTACTGGAGAAAATTGAGTCATATAACTATTACTTTACTAAGGCTAACTGATTACTGTAAGAACTTGGAAAGGATTTGGCCTAGCAACTTCTTTTAAAAGGTCATAAACAGCTATTTAATTAAGTAAAATAAATTGGATGAGCACTTGAATTAATGAGAAGATACTTGGAAATCTCGTATGAAACCTAATTAGTAATGGGATTAATAGGAAGGAAGGTATTGCTAGAAATATCAATCCGGTCTCATAGGAGCAAACACAATGACAGTGTACTTTTGAAGCGATAGGACCAGCTCACTGGTTGGGACACGAACAAAAGATTAAGTTTTTCTCATTAAATAACGTTATAGTAAAACAAATTGTAGGATTAAATTAGTTAAAATTATACTTACTTCTTGTTATCAGCCATAATGACGGCTTACAATGAATATATTTCACAGAATTAATTAAAGTCTAATATTCTATAGTTTCTTCCGCTAACTCCTTGCCTGCTAACACACAAATCGGACGATCAGGCAGGATTGCCAACAGACCAGCGCACCAAAAATTCATCATAACTCAATGATTTTTATTTACAGCGTTGCCAAGTTCATGATGAGCTGGTTTATGTACTAAATATAATTTAAAGATAAATTTTGGTAGTGGAAATAATTAATAAATACATGGACCAATAAAATTAATGTAAAAAGGATTAAATGTTTAATATATATTTATTTGCTTTTCATAACAGTTAGATCTATTGATAAAACTAATATTTTGAGTTTGCTTTTATTCATAGAATAGTAATAGACCTTCATGTATGTTTCAGCATACTATATGATAATATTATTTCAAAACCAGCCGAAACCCCCTTGTTCATAAAGTAAATTAAAATATTAAAACCTATGTAAATGTTGATACATCCATATCAGGGGCCCATTTCATAATAAAGTACAAACTAAAATTATTAGTAAATCAGCTGATCACCCAATGCAAATCTAATGGAAATTACAAGTTACAAGTTGTAACTTTTTCCTACAGTTACCTAACAATGTACATGTTCTCTCACTAATTTGAGAAAGCAAAGTGGCCAATTCGCTCATCAGTGAGACAATGTTAACATTGTCTCACTCTAATTACTTTGTCTCACTCCAGATTTGCAACGTGAAGGCACGAAATAGTGAGCGCGTAACATGCAGGCAACGTCGTATGCGCGCGAAATACGTTGGCAGCACTGGCTGTAAATCAGCTGGTCAGCTGTTGTACTGTTGTATTTGTCACTTCACATTAAATGTTATATTAAAAGTTCACTTCTGTGTAAAAATAGGTTATGTTTCTTCACAAATTTATTTGTTTTATGGTAACTGTAGGAAAAGTATAATGTGCAACTCGAGTTCAAAGTACAATTGCCTCACCCGAGAAACCATTCCTCACTCGCCTACGGCTCGTGAGTAAGGATTTCTCTCGAGTGAGTCAATTGCTCACTTTTCTCACTAGTTGCACAAATAACTATTAACTTTTAGTTTATTATGAAATGGGCCCCGACTTCAAATATCAACATACTGTACATCTGTTACTATAATACAGATACTATATACAACAACCATAGATCACGAAATATGAAACAAAATCTTGTAACATGTTTTAAATTGATCAAGGAATCTCTTCGTAACAACACGACAAAATTTCTATTAGATACCTCATGAAATAAAACTCTGTTAATTAGGACGATAATTAAAGCAGCATTAAAATATGGTGCAATGTGATTTGCTTGCTTTGAAGCTGTGGAATTTGAACATCAATATTGTATTTTATAAATTGTCTGTAGTATAAAAACTTAATAAGGAACTCATTATTATTTTTTAAACTTGGTGCTTTTGTATTTATTCAAGAGAATTTTCATTTTTCGGTTGGCATTATTGTGTTTGCATTAAAACCTTTGTAGCCTATTATAAAGATCATTATTTAATAGATTATAGTTGTCATTTACTGTTTCAGTATTAATTTATTGCCTACATATTATTGTCTGTAAAGGTTTTAGCGAATTTCGCTATAGGGAAGTAGCTATTACCACCATAGTACTCATGGTAAGACCTGGACCCGGGGCCAATTTAATTTTTCATTTTGAGGTCCCTAGAGGCCAAAAACACCATCCGTTCAAATGCATATATTTATATGTATATATATATTTAAGTATATGTGTCCGTTAGCGCGATAACTCGAGCAAAAATGATCTGATTGTGATGAAATTTGGTACAAACGTGTAAACCTAAGTTTATTCGAACGAGTTGGTGATCCAGCATAATCGGACCATGGGAACGGGGGTTAATGGGGGGTTTTATGGGGTAAAAATGGGGTTTTCCCATTTTTGACCCTGCAAAAAAATTTTGCAACTTTTTTTCATACCGTTTTGTAGAGCTTAAAAAAGAAATAATTTAGTATATTGAAGCGCTTTTGTATGCCTAACGATCACAGAGATAATTGAAAAATATTGTAATTTAATATTCCCATGTTATTTTATGGAGAAAATGAAAATTGTTTTAGTTTACTTGTTTATGAATATATATTGATGAAATTTGGCAAATTTATTTATTTCATCCTATAATATTGACGCATGGTCAAAAAACACTTTTAACCTTCCCCGTAGCAGCAAACCTAAGCACTCGTTAAATCTAATATTATTTAAATGGGGAATAAATATGTCTTATTTATAGAAATATTTTAGTAAAAATGTAATCAGACAAGTTGAAATTCGCTTAGTATGCATGTTTGCTGCGGCGGGTGTATTTTTTTGATATTGCTGTCATTATTAACTTTTCTATAAAAAATTGTGGTTTTGTAAAAATGGTGGAACCATTGTGAATATAACAACAAACACAAATAAATAATTTATTTATTATTTTTAAGGTGTTGGCAGTCTTTACAATCTTGCATTATTTGCCCGTCTCGGTCCCACATCCACATCCACACAGGCCTTGGGCACGGCCACCTCTAACTACGCAGTATTGCCACTTTTGGGGATTTTTCACCAAATTTTTTCTTAAGCCTTGGGGATTTTTTTTGGCGGATTGTGTCTGTTGGAGGATTTTTGGCGGATTACTGGGATGTTATCGAATTTATTGGAGATGTGATTTTGAGTCAGGAATAAAGTTACAGTAATATAGTTAAAGAGGGATTACAGACAAATAAACCGCGGAATTGCAGAATAGATGATGCAAACCGTTTGTTATCAATATTGTCCAGACATTTAGTAGGAATATACAACATGACTCATTTTGTAAGTCATAAGTCATTTATTCAACCAGATTTACATAGTTTACATGCGTTGGTTATGTCAATTATAGTAAGTTGATACATAAAATATATCAAAAATTCCTTTTACTACATGCCATAGCTATATTACAGTTACATTTAACACATGTTACACACATGTTACATGTTACTTACATTTGGTTTACATTTTAATTTTTTTGTATTCACCCATTATGCCCATGATTGCCCGTTAGCAATAAACTCACGGACACGGTAGTAGCATTTAGATATTAGTAATTTCCGGAGATTTTTCTTAAAAATGACAGGGTCTGACTCAATTTGTAGATGTTTCGGCAAAGCATTGAAGAGCAGGATTCCGTTATAATATTGATGTTTCTTGAAAAAAGTTGTAGAATGCTTAGGTATCTGGAGATTGAGGCTGTTTCGCAGAGAACAAGATCTGGGCGTTGCAAAGATAGAGAAGCTGTTTAAAAAAAGAGTGTTTCAAGAATGTGCAAGCAAGGAAAAGTTCAAATACTTGAACACAAAAAGAAATCTTTACAAGAAGTTCTGGGACTGATTTTAAAGATAGTTCGAATTGCTCTCTTTTGGAGTCGAAATAAAAATCTAGTTTTATCATTCTCGCATCCCCATGTCGGTACTGCGTAGACCAAATGGGGGAAGATGACACCATAATATGCTGTCAGAAGGACATTCTGATCGGAGAAATGTGACAGTTGCCTTAAATGGAAAATGCCAGACCCCACTCTCATGCATACATTGTTGACATGGTCATGAAATCTGAGGTTTTTGTCTAATACTAGACCAAGGAATTTTACGCTGTCCGAAGAATCAATTTCTACATCGTCTAGAAGGATGTTTGTAGAAGGATTGCCTTGGATTGAAAAACGGAGCAATTCAGTTTTTTTTGGGATTGAGGTTCAGTAAATTGGACCTATTCTTATTCTTATTAACGTTATAGAAATGAGTTCCAGTTATTTACTTGCAGTTTTACATATTCATGGGGATAACCATAGCCTCATAGTCTAATCCACTGAGCGAGAGATAAAAGTTGTTCAGTATAATAACACGCACACTTATATTCTTTGTCGTGGCGACTAAGTCACCAAATATGTCCGTAGCCATGTCCGTAACTTAACTTTAAAACTGATTTGATCAACAAGTTATACATGTATAATGTATAATATGTTAGGAGTATGTTTAATCTATGGCTAAATAGAAGGAACTCACAAGGAGAGCTTACTACTCCATGATAAGGAACGTCATTTCCGCTATTCAATGTAACTTTTTTTAAAATTCCCATTTGTTTTTCTTCTCCGATTCTTCATTCTTCCTTCCTTCAGCTACAGCTTTCAGCAGAGCCAGAGCTTCTTCTTTTCGCTTCATCCTCGTCTTCGCGTTGAAGCAATTATTCGACGTCGTGATCCTATTTTAATTATTAGTGGATTTCTTACGTATAATTCAATTTAGGATTCGGAAAAATGCCTCCTAAATTTGATCCCAGCGAAGTTAAAATTGGTAAGTCTTGAAATATACAAAGAATATTTATGAAAATCCAGAGATAAATTTTGGCTAGGTTAGTTGGGCTAACTCCACGTGTCATTAAATTGAACTTTTACTCAGAAGTGAAGCATATCTCATCACATTACTGCTTTTATGCTGAAGTTGTAAGTTAAGAAGTAGAAATATCAGCACGTAAATTAATATCGTCTTCGCAGTCAATCTTTTTGCTAATTTGGGCCTAAAACTAGCCTTATTTACAAGGCTAACCTATTTTGTTGCCTAGTTCAGGGAGATTCAACTAGTAGGCCTACGAGTCTAGGTACCGGTACTCTTCTCTATATTAAGTGTTGCCTTAACTGTAGATTTGTTATTTTAAGATCAACTTCAGGGTTAACTTATACCTACAAGAATGGTTTAGAAAATGAGAGCTTGCCAACATGTGGCTTTGGTTGCCAACTTCCTCCTCGTCAGCACAGAGCATATTTTAAGGGAATCCCACTGGGCGACAGTGGCACCTTGGGGGTTCCATCCCGGAAATCTTTGCATAAGTTAAAGTGAAAATCACACATTTCTACGTGTCTTTTAATGAGTTTTCAAATTATAGCCTATTTCCTTGTAAATAGTACATACCTATAATCTCACTTAATTAACTTGTGTATTATAGTACGATGTAACAGGCCAAGGCAGGTGTAGGCACATGATCCAGGCTGTAATCCTCTTAACCACGGACGGTTGACCTGTCAGTTCTAGATTGACCCAAGAAGGGATGAGAAATCGAGATAAGACCTTCCTGATTTGATTACCCCCATTATAACTTACCCTGCATAGCTGAACTGTTGGCGGCGAATTTTCATCTCTATCACTGTCGCTGTCAAAACGTATCGTTTATGGGTTAAATTTAAATTTAATTGAATTTAACCCTTGAGCGGGCGCTTGCAGAGTTTTCCTACGCACTTGTAGTTTTGTTGATATAAATATGCATAATGGGTGTAAAGGCAGTCATGTCCGGCTCTGCACTTCAACGCATCTCATCCCGGGAATGCCCCTATGCTATTTTTACCCCCGAATTCCTCCTCATTTTGTTGTCAGTTGCAATTCAGTGACATGGTGTCAGTTTGCGGAGGTTTAAGTTACTCCGCGTGCGCCCTATCGCGTAAGTCCTTAGCGGGGAGTTTATTTTCTCATGCGCTCTTGTGAAACTGCGTGTATATTTTATACACACAAAATTATAAAACATGTTTAAATAGCCTTGGCCTACTATTTCATATATACCGGTAAGTTAATTATTATCAAATTTATTTTGTTTGCATGTAAATGTAGGCTTTTGCGGAACAAAACTCCGCGCCCGCCCTCTCTCGTAACACCCACAGTAATACCTACTATAAAATTGCGCATTATGTTTATTTGAAATATTAGGTAGGCCTACTCAAGTTACACTTAAATAATGTTATTAACAAAGAAATTAAGTTATGTTTCTGATTAGGTTATTTTAACATTTACATAGCCTATAATATTTCATTTTAATAACAAGCAAAATGGGTAAAACTTATGCTGTTTAATGTTGCTGAATAAAACTCCGCATGCGACGCTCCCGTCATACTGGTGAAGCGACTCTTCGAGGGTCAATTGTCAAAGCCTAACCAAACTTGCTGATAATGAAAAATCGAAATAATTGACCCATTCAGTGCTGACTACATCAATTGATGTAGTACGTCATGAGCACCCATGGCGGACTACATCAAAAGCTGTAGTCGCGCCACTGCAACTATATTGCTTAAGTGTGAGCTCAGATATAGACAGGGAACGTTGTATCGCGCGTCAGCCTGTTGTGCCAGTTCTCGGGTTTATTTTGGCGCAAATTGTTTTCAGCTCCAGGTTTTCACTTTGGCACGGGACCATGGTAATCTCGTACTTTTCTGTGATGTGTGTAAATGCGGTGGGTGGGGTTGTAAAATAGTTTTGAATAGTTTTTAAATTTAACGGTATTACTGTGGGTGTTACGAAAGAGGGCGGGTGCGGAGTTTTGTTCCACAATAGCCTACATTTACATGCAAACAAAATAAATTTGATAATAATTATGAATGAAATGTATTTGGTATGTTTATACCTACACAGTTTCACAAGAGCGCATGAGAAAATAAACTCCCCGCTAAGGACTTACGCGATAGGGCGCACGCGGAGTAAACATTGTGTATGAACTAATATTTTGCATTGACGATCGTTCTAAATGACACCTGGACTGATTGTAGGCCTATATAATTCTCTATGGTTATTATTCCAATAATTACCAACTTTTGTGTCAAGAAACAAGTTTGTGGGTCGTTATATACAATTGTGACAGTAAAAGGACTACTTCTTCTTCGTGGGGACTCAGCAAACCGGCCCCACCGGCGGACTACATCAATTGATGTACCGGAAGTGACGTCACCAATAATGACCAAAATGGAGGCCTTGGGATCTTCTTATGACATTTTGGATGCATTCACTTAATTTACTTGGAGATTTATCAATAATCATATTTCAGCACTTTGAGCACGCAATACTAACCCATTTCAGCACTGAACGTGTTAACAGGTTACCACCTGCCTAGATTTAATGTGATGAAATAATCAAACAAGATTCCAGTGACTGACCAGGTGATGTTGTTGTTGCAGTGTTCCTGCGATGTGTGGGAGGGGAAGTAGGTGCTACATCATCATTGGCCCCGAAAATTGGACCTCTGGGTCTGGTAAGTTGCTTAGTTTTTTTAGCTGTCGCTTTTAATTGTTTCTTTTATTACATTTTGAAATATGCTAGGCCTACCGAAATTGGAATTAATAACACGTTTGCAAAGTTGTCTGTTTGATCGTAGCCTATTGTCATAATATGTTCCTGCCCTAAATTAAATATAATTACACGGGTTACATGATCGCAGCTACTAAAAATCATTAAACGAGAATTTCTATCAACTGTAAATGTAAGTATGTAGGCTTATAAGAACTTAAACACAAACATTAAGATTCTCTGACACTAAAATATTTAGGGCTAACAAATTAAAAAAATAAAATATTTACTAGGCCTTAACCCTTTCCACTCGGATTAGTTGACCCCTTGTTGTCCCATACGCTTGCATTTATTGCCATGCAAAAAAACATGTTTTAAGTTTTGTGTACATATACTGACTAAAATAAATTATTTGTTGTACTTGAGGGCTTGATTCTTATTCAGCATAAAATTGTACACAAGTAAAACAAAATATCAAAATTAATATACCCATAAAATATTTTTTGTGTGGTCATAATATAAAAAAAGCAAAATAAAATGTACAAAATATTTTTTAGGAGGCTTTTTAAAAAACGTTAACACATTTTCAGGATTTGTAAAACACTTTATCAACATTAGTTATCTAGTTGCCAATTCAAATCAGCCATTACAAGAAGGATTAGGTGTATTTTTAATGAAAAAATGCATTTTCAAACTTAGATTTTTTGGTGATTTTGGTCGTCATGGTTACTATTTACACTTCTCTATTCTTTAATCCACAGCTGACTAAATAAACTTACAATTATTTTTCAAGCTACCAAAGACATGTAAAATGAATAAGGAAATCATCAAGTTTGTATTCAACACAAATTCAAAACATGCAAACACTATATAAAAGGGATTTATTATTATATTATTATATTATTATATAATTATATTATTATATGGGATTAAGGCTTTACAACAGTCTACCCACTAATTTTAAAGAAATTAACAGTATTTCAAAATTTAAAAATGAGTTCAAACGATACCTTTTACAGAAAAATTATTATAATATTTCTGATTATTTAAATGATAAGTAAATATATTTTAGTTTAAGCTATGTGGATTTTAGTTTTGTTATGTAACTTAGTGTTTAAGATCTCTGACAATATCACCTGTTTCACCAGCTAACGCTGGATCTGTGAAATGTTTTGTGATAATAAAGTAATATTTCATTTCATTTCATTTCATTTCATTAATAAAAAGCCGATGCTGAAAATGTCGCGGCGGCCGCGACATACGAGTGGAACGGTCAGACGTGAATGTCGCGGTAGCGGCGACATACGAGTGGAAAGGGTTAAACACAAAAGGCCTAGGCTAATTTGTTGTCTATTTGAAACTGACTGAACAGCTACTAATTTTGTCATTATTTCTGTTTGCTCTATTAAATCTTCCGGAAAGGATTTACCCACATCATTCCCAAAAGGATTGCCATGATGATCAATCTTAGGACACCTAATTACACTACTTAGGTAGTGAGATGATTTGAACCTTTGTTCTGAGTAATCCTAAAAACAGTTATGTACAGTTTTCTGTACATAGCCTATGACAATAGAAAATCTAGGCTACCCAAACTAACCCCGGTCTGTGTTGTATTTTAGTCTCCCAAGAAGGTCGGTGACGACATAGCCAAGGCCACTTCGGACTGGAAGGGTTTGAAGATCACAGTTCAGTTGACCATTCAGAACAGACAGGCCACCATCTCCGTTGTTCCGTCGGCTGCGTCCCTCGTCATCAAGGCACTCAAAGAGCCCCCACGAGACAGGAAGAAGGTTAAGAACGGTCAGTAATGTTAGCTTATTTGGACTAATTCTTACCTAAAACTGCAAGTAGTTAATTTTGTCTTGGACAAGTCTTATTTCTTGAGAATAGTCTGCGATGATGATCATTCTTAGGACACCTAATTACACCTTGGAGGTGGAATGATTTGAAATAATATCTGAGCAGCCTTGATTGTTAAATATATTTCATTAAAGTGTTAAATCCGAAAGAAATTTGTTCATGTTTGTTCATACAGATCAACTTTTAATATCAAAGCGCAAGTTTTACATTGTGTTGACTTGGGGGCTTTCACCAAATGTGTCCCAAAATCTTATCTGGATAGTCGGATAATTTATGAGACAACAGGCCTAAAATGAGATCATTTTTGTATCTGAGAATTTGACTCAATATTTTTTTGATAGTGATGGTTATGGATAGACCTAACTGTTAGTGTAAAAAAAATAGGTTGAGTCGAGCTAGGCCTACATTTTTTAATAGGACTTTTTTACTGCGCAAAGTTTTTCTAATCTATTACGGTTGGCTTTATTATGATTTTCAGTAAAACACAGTGGCAACCTTCCTTTTGAAGAGATCCTCAACATTGCCAGGGTCATGAGGCCTAGATCCATGTCTAGGAAGATGGAGGGAACCATCAAAGAGATCCTTGGAACTTGCCAGGTAAGACGGCATAGAACACATTTAGGCTTATGGCTTACATATTTTCCTCATAGTTCTCTACTGCTACAAATTTGAGTTAAAATTAGATTTTTATGTTTGACGTGGAGATCTTAGCTATTCCTGCTACTGATATTAATATTCAAACACTTGATCAAATGCAACAAGACATGATATAAAGCTAAGTTATTGTCCTTAGTTTTACTTTGGGCCTACTCTGTTTAGGTAGCCTTCAAGTTCAAGAAATTGTGAGGAAGTACCGATTTAGATTTTTAATGTCTCAAAATAATTGAGACCGTTGGTAAATTGATTAATTATACATATTTTAGTTTGTAAATACCCAAGGAACCTTTTACAACTTGTATTTGTATTTTTGTTTGTATTTTACTGTTAACTTCTTATTTATTTCTATAATAGGAAAGTATGTTTCTTGAAAACCTTTTTTCTCAGCTCGTGTGCATCGCAGGGAAAATCTACGCATACTGTTAGAAAGATATTTTCCTGTAGATTTGAAGAATCTCTTCATTATAAATTAAAATAGGCTAAATAATAAGGACAAAAAATGAAAATAAAATTTAAAAAAATTTACATGGACCTTTATGGGTTGTCATGCTGGTGACAAAATATAAACAGAACATCAAAACAAATGGAAGAAATGAAGAAATTTCAATCACATATTTTATTTACAGCGTGTTGTGAAAATAGAGTAGTACATTACATATTTTTGGTCGAGTTTTCGACCACTGGACGACCTCTAGTTACTTTTAATAGCCTAAGTTAGTATGTAGTCTGCACACTCCTTAGATCTGCCTTCGGGACTGTTTCAGTCCGCTGACGCGTTGTTGGTTATCGAAGGTAAATGAGTCATTGGTGTGCTACATCAGTATACCTCCTTGATGGAACCTTTACTGCCTGACCAATGTCTTGCGGTCTGTTCTGTTGAGGGGACATTAAAAATTAATAATGCTATAAAAAGTCCAGTGACGCTAAAAGAGTTCTGTTCTGTTCTTCTGAATATATGTTTGTACTGTAGATCTAAAATACTTCTGTTCCTTTTAAGTATTATACTTTTAGCCTAATAATACGTTAAAGATATTATGAAAACAAAATATTGTGTGAATTAAGAATTTCTTGGTCTTAAGCTATTTGATTCTTTTATTGTAATGTTAACTTACAAAAACAAAATTATAGGCCCTAGTCTTTAAATTAGCCTAGTAGGTAAGTTCCAAATTTCTGAAGGCTCCAAAAACCTTTCTAGATAATAGCACGAGAACGTTGTTAACCTCCGTGTATAGAAATTCTTTCATCTAATGCGGTTGTTTTTTTCACAGTCTGTCGGTTGCACAGTGGAAGGCAAACCTCCTCACGAAATCATCGACGCGATCAATGATCACGAGATTGAAGTTCCAGAAGAGTAAATTTGTAAGTATTTCTGATGTTCTTGGGTACTATCTGGCTCTTGGGCGTCAGCTCAAAACTTTTCTAACAAATTATTTTTATGAATTGTTGTCAACCACATTCAGTGTTGCATTTTTTCCCTAAATGAAAATGAACAACGGTAGGTTGCTGTGATGTTAAATCTTAGGACACCTAATTACACCTTTAAGGTGAGATGATTTGGAAACCTAACTGAGCAATCTCATCTATGATAAAGAGCAGGCGGTAAATTAAGGGTGAATCGTTTCTTATTCACTATCTTTGTATCGTCCCTATACAAGAAGAATGAGCGTATTGGCTTGTGTTAGACTCAAATTTAAGCCGTAAATATCAGTGGACTCTTATCTTAAGTGTGCTTTGATTATTGTCACCTGTTGCAAATCTCGTAATTTAGTGATACTTCTCCTAAAAATTGAAGTAAACCTCCTTTCTTGGATCCTCTCTTGTGCTTTGATTATTGTCACCTGTTGCAAATCTCGTAATTTAGTGATACTTCTCCTAAAAATTGAAGTTAACCTCCTTTCTTGGATATTAATGTCATTACTGTGTTATCCTTCAAAACCATGGCCTAAAGCCATCTTTTTACCTAAGACATCATTTATGGTATCATCCTGTTTTAGAATCCTAAATGCTAACCGAACAAACTAGAATTTACCCATGAAACGACTTAGCTAGGTAGCGAAATAATTAGTGAAGTTAAAGTATACAACTGTGACATTGAGACGATGCTGTAACAATTTAGTCATCTCCCCTTGAGGCTCGTGGAACGTATGCAACACTAAAGCTAAGTTGAGTTTGGGCGTTTAGGATCCAAAAATGTATGGCATGAAATTCAGGATTAGTCAAGGTTATACTGTGGCAATGACATCACATAACAAAACTATACTTTAACTTGTGGTCCTAAATACATTATTGATTGAGCTGAGTGTAAGACAGTTGAGCACCCAAGATCACAGTATGGTAGGGGATGGCGTCCCACCCACCACCAGGGCTCTTCTGTTAGGTTGTTCTTTCATTTGAAGCTGTCATTTCACTGATGTGTATCATTAGGCAAGTTGAAGTGTTGGTAAATTTTAAGTTAGTTTAGTTGCTTCATTTTAAGATTACCACCAAATAGGCTAACACAGGAACTCACAACAGCCGAGTGATGGAACTTTACATTATAATTAACTCGACAACAAAAACTTGCCTTAATTAAAAAAAATAACCCCCCTTAACTTGCTGGAATTATCACATTTTACCAAGTAAAAGTTTACCATGTACACATTTTACCATGTAAAAGTTATTTTACATCTTGATTACATACAAATGCTTCTTCAAGTTTAAGTATGCTGAAGTTTAACGGAATCTTTACATTAAACTGAAAGGTCTTGCAAAATATTTTAAATATGAGATTGCCATGATGACTAATCTTAGGACACCTAATTACACCTTAAAGGTGATATGATTTTGAAATGATGGCTGAGCAATCTAGAAACTAATTAGATTACAGCTATGATTTGTTGTTTAAGGTTTAATTTTGCTGAAATATATCTAAATTGTTTTATTGTAACTTAAACGGACAAAACAAACCAAAATAAAGAACATGATTGCCATGATGATTAATCTTAGGACACCTAATTACACCTTAAAGGTGAGATGATTTGGAAATAAATTCCTGAGCAATCAACAAACTTTCATTACAGCTAGGCTACAATTTGTTGTTTCAGGTTTAATTTTGCTTAAACTTATCTGAATTGTTTTATTGTAACTTAAACGGATCTCACAAAACAAAATAACTAACATGATTGCCATGATGATTAATCTTAGGACACCTAATTACACCTTAAAGGTGAGATGATTTGGAAATAAGTTCCTGAGCAATCTACAAATTTAATAGAACACAGATGAACTGTTATTAGACTCATATTAAAATATTGTAGCTATTTAACTATAACTATCATCTATCTATAATCAATCTATTGTTCTAAATATAACAAACTTAGTAAAATAATGCCATGATGATTCTACTTAGGACACCTAATTACGCTGGGATGATTTGAAAAGTACCCTGAGCATTCTGTCAGACTTTTGTTAACTTGTATACAAACTTTATTGAATATAATTTCTTTTTTGAACATAAATTTTGAACTTAATTAGATCCTTAAAACACAATATTTTACTTTTCTCGTAATAAATAAAAGTCCTACTGTATCACATAAAAGACATTAAACATTTTAAGAGTGCAGAAACGAAATATCAAATGTTGCTAAGTCACCGATTTCTTGGACTGATTGTTCAAAAAAAAACCTGGAGCATTTACTTTCTCAAAATACAACCAAAATAGTTTGTAGTTAATCTGTGGTATGACAGCTTCAAAGTAAAGCAGACTAAAAAGGAAAAGCCCAGTGGAATAAAAGCCGCTGAGGAGAAAACCTCAATAAAAAACTTTTAATATACAGTAGGAAATAGTCTGTAAGTTAAAATTGTATCGTTGCACAAGTATTGTTTTGATTTGTAATTTTGTTTCCAGGTTTTATCGCTGTTGAATAAAAAAACTTCAAAAACAATTTTGACTTTTTTACTACCCTGTTAAAATTAAGAATTATTATCCCAAGTACCCTCGTTGCACCAAATCTGCATCTTAAAGTAGTCTCCATTAAATGGTAAAAATCTTAAATCATTATGTCTGGTTATATTCAAAGAGGTCCAAAATGAAAGAAAATCTAAAATGTTAAAACCATAACCAACATTGGCTCGATGAGTCTCTGGAGGTTTGCTGCTTTGAGGTACAATAAACATGTTGTTTTAGACAAACTGAAAAATATAACATTAAGAAAATGAAATACTAAGTTAATGTGTCAAATTTGCTTCAACAGCTATAAACATCCTTTTAGTCTTAAGGTTGATTTTGTATCCATTTTCGGGAACATTCTCAATTATCCAATCTGCTTTCCTTAAAAACATTTTCTAGCTAAATAAAAATTAATCTCAGTCTTTTCTAAAATATTGTACAGGATGAGTCGTAAATTATTCTTAAATTTCAGTTTGTTCATTTTGCTTGAGGAAAGGACTATACTGTATTTTGACACCTACTGTAATTTTACTCATATCTATAATCTTAATAAAAAATAATATTTTAAAAATAAAAAAATTATGTTCTTGGTGACATCAAAAACTTGAACAAGTTTAAATTGGTAAGAGGTAAAAGAAGTGTTGATTAGTGGTTATAATCTGACTCTGTGAAATCTTTGGATCAGCCTCAAAACTTAAGTTAAATGAAAATTTAAACTTATTTCATGTCTCATTTTGAAGGTATAAGCAAAATTTCTGTGCATGATTAAAGAGATTAATCAAGGACGCTTTGGTTCCAACACAAGAAATAATGAAATTATAGTGGTTCAAAGAAGGGATAAATATATTAAAGACTTATCAAATTATGATCAAATTGCATATTTTGTGATATGACTTGACCTTGACACAATATGTTCGCTAAGATTAAATACACAACACATTTTCAGGATGTTAACTAGCCTGAAATGAATTCTCTAATAAGAAGTGGTGTCAAAAAGATATCTTTTAGGCGAGGCTTGGCTTCTTTTATTCAATAATTTTAAGAGGTGGTGTCTAACAGATATCTTAGAGGTGAGAATGTTTTGTCCTTGAAATAAATTGTTAGTTAAATGATGATTTTGCTAAGTAGGCTAAGTGTAAAAATGAAAAAAAAATCCTCTCTAAAGTATTGTGCCACCTTAAAGTTAGTCTATATCCAAGATGTGGCACTTCCCTCTAACAATCTACTCCATTTTGGGACAAATTAATTATAGTTGGTAAAAAAAAAATATTTTTATTATGAAATTGTACCAAGTGTGGTTCACTTTTTATTGTCATCCCGAACTAAAAATGCAGTTTCATTTAAAAAGGTAATTTGTTGTAGGATCGTACTTGTTAAGTTATTTACCTACGACCGGTTTTCAGTTCAGTTCTTAGAATTGAAAAGATTCACTTTACAACTTTGTTTACTTACTTAACAGCATTGTTTTTTTACTTAACAACACGGGTAATGGACCAATGAGGTTCAAGGATTGAGAGAAAAAAAGTATAATTGTAATGCTTCAAACTTCAACTAATCAGCTGTTCAGGCCAATTTAATATTGTTGAGTGGTGCAATTAGTCTTTGGTACAATGATTGCTGCATCACTGTCGGTGGCAATGAGAGTTTATAAACGAATACATAACCTCTCCTTAGAAATGATGAGTAGTGATTGTTGGTAATTAAAAAACTGTCTAGGTAAATTAGTGTACTTTATGACCAATACAGTGGAACCTTGATAAGAAGACCCTCGATAACAAGTCGCCCTTGATAAAGAGTGTCATTTTCAAATACCCTTAAAATGATTTTACCCCTAATCACATGTTATTAGGGGTATTAGGGGTGTTATTACAAACCTCGATAAGAAGTCAACCTTGATAACAAGTCTTATTTTACAATCCCCATGAGAGTCTTGTTATCAAGGTTCTTACTGTATTTATTTGTTTAGTCTAAACATTTTTGCTTTGGATTTGAAATGAAGCAACCTTTGTATACATGTCGCTTATGTCGCTATTATAAATTTTATTTTGAAGCTCGTTTTTCGGTGACACTGATTTTTAGTGTCGACAAAAGTTTGTTTCTATTATTTTAGGGTTAATTTAATGATTTGTGCTTTACTGTTTATACAACTAGAGGACGAGTTATTGTTTGTGATTAGATCGTTAAATTTGGCTAAACGAGGTTTTAAATGACTGAAATAACAAGAAACAAATTGTAAATAAAACACGACCCCTACAGTGCACCGGACAAAACTAAAATTACAATTGGCTTCAGCTGTTCCATATAGATAAGAAAACTACCAAGGGAGTATCCAGTACCCAGTACCAGTAGGGTAGGGTTACAAGACAGGTTCCATCATACAAAATATAATTGATCAGGGTGAGAAACATCTTAAAATTGTGTCTAGATTGTGTAGGACATAGTTTATTATTAAAAATCCTCTAACAATTAAATTATTGCAGTGTATAAATTTGACATTTTAAAATATCTAATTTTGTCCGTCTTAATTTATAAAAAAAATGTTCTCCAAATCTTTTCCTAGATCAGCAATGGCTAAGTCTCCAATCTTCTGCTGGGCAAGTGATTTTGGCTGCGTCTTTAGTCAGGAAAACGTGCATGGACATCAGGCCGTAGTTGTTGACATAATCCTCTACACAGCTCGGTGCACTGCGCAAGATGTTCTGAAAATCATACATACAGTTCAGTTGCATACTTGGAACTTGGATGGGCAGTAAAATAGTTGGTTATACAGTTTTGAAGAGTCCTGGAACGGTTAAGTATAACCATCACATACAACAGTATAATTGGCATAACTATAATAATCATAAAAATCCACTTTTCTAAGGAACTGGCGTCTTTTTATCTCATAAGGGGGATGGCCCCACGAGGAGTAAATGGAAAATCTTAAATGTAAGCTAGGGATGGACGAGATTGGATTTTTAGTTCGAGACGAGACGAGACGAGATTTTTTTATTTCTCATAAAATTTCGAGACGAGATCGAGACGGGATTTCCCTTCTCATACACAACGGGAAAGCACGTTCAAAATTTTTACCTGATTTTGTAACATTGTTAGATGACTGTTTAAATACAAAAATAATGATAATAGGCAAGAATATTTAAAATCTTTTATTAAGAAACATCAGCATAACATTTTTTTATTAATCACGCCTAACTTATTAAAAATGCCTACGATTAGGAAACATAGTGATATCAGTTAGGATAGAGTTCAACTTATCCTAAAATAAAATAAATCATAAAATAAAAGCAATATTAATTTTTATAAAATAGTTACTTGTTTTGACTTTTTATAGTAATAAAACATTCCTCACACTGCTTACACTTAACAAAACTTTTCAAATGTTATTAAATTAATATTATCAAAATAATTAAAGTAATATTTACATTTAAAGAATTAATTAAATAAGAACGCCTTCGCAAAGGAAACGCAACTACAACACGCTCCTGTATTGCGGGTATTGCATTGACTTTCTGCAGGCGTTTTTTTTTTTATTTTTATTCTCGTCTCGATAAAAATCTCGGCCAAAAAGAAATCTCGTCTCGTGTAACGAGATTTAAAATTTCCCGAAAATTTCCCAAAATTTCGAGACTTGACTAGGTTCTTTTGGACATCAAATCGAAGGTACCTACATTAATTAGTAGAAAATGATGTCATATACCTGACCTCAACTATCCAAAATGGCGACTTTTAAAAGGTTATCTCAAGTTATACCACGAAAAACAGCTGACTAGTCTTAGCCTAGCCATTGAGGATGTGACTTCACAGTAAGGGTGAAACGTCTGGTAACAGCGTATTAGTGATTATGCGGTTGACGTCAAAAAACACCCCCATGAACTTTCCACCCAAAGTAAACTAAAAAAATTAACAAAAACAATACTTTCTCTTGTATATTAAACTTTCTGCTCGTATACAACACTATGTATACGAAAATTAAAATTTACCTGCACTGGGAGGGATCCTTGTTCGTAGTAGGTCTTGGTCTTGAGGTTATTATCGACGTAGGAGCCAAAACCAGCCAATCCCACTCCGATAAGCTTGCCGTTGTCATACAGAGTCCATACAGGTTCTCTACGTGTGCAGTCCACTCCATGCCCCTTGAAGTAGTGCTTGCCTGTAATATGTCCAAGGTTCTCATTTGAAATAAATATAATCGTAAACCAGAATTAGTAATATACGCAATTTAATGAATAAAAACTCCCATGTTTTCAGGTTTAAATAACCCATGTCTACTCAAGAAGAATGTAAAAGTGACTTGTAACTTTGTGAAGAAACAAAACTACAACTGGTTTATGACAAGAGTTTCTTACGGTGTGATTGATTATTTCACCAGCTGGGCGTAGCTGTGATTTAAAGGATTAATCTTTTTATGATTAACTCAATTTCCCAATTTCAATAGCATCAACTATTTGACTTGATTTTTTACATCATCCTATGTACGATTAAAATTAAAGTTTTAAAGACCGGGAGATGTGGTATTTTAATTTGGGAATAGCACGGACATTTATAGAAAAATTTTCCAAGATAGCTAGGAAGCAAGATATAGTAAAAAAAAAACAACCGAGTTGGTTCTTATCCAAGTGTTTTGGATCGTGTGCAAAATATTTAAAATTATTTTCCATCAATTATGAATTTATTGAGGTGGAGACACGTGTCTATTTTTACCCAAATATGAGTGTAAGATCGATGGAGTGAGATGATCTGTGTAGCTTTGTTACTGAAGATCAGCTTGTACCTAGGACTAATCATGTTTTTGGTTTCGAGGACATCAAAATGAAAATTGGTCCAGGGTCTAGGTCTCTTTCTGTGTTCATAGGTAATAGCTACTTCTCTAAAGGGAAAATTCCTAAAACTGGTAACCCCTTAAGGCTGATATTTCTGCTTTAATTCTTTATCACGCAACCATATCAACACTCACCCATGCCGGCGAAGCAGTTTGCCTCCTCAAACTCTGCGTTAGGTTTGCATTCGTCTCTGCTCACTTCCATCCACTTGCCCTGAAGTCTGAAGTACACATTTTCAGCCACTGAGTCAGTGTTCTTGTTCAATTTTGCTCTTCCACCAGATACCAGAGTATCTATAACATACAAAATGTTTAGAAGCATGACATCATTACGGAAATTAACTCAATTTAACCATTGACTTGCATTCTGAAGATGACATCCAATCTATCTATCCAGCTGTTGTCAATTTTTCTTAAAAGAACCAAAAGTTCTGATTCAGTCACAGTTTTTGCTAGTGTTAGAAATATTTGTTTCATACCTGCCAAGTGGTATGAATTCTATTCTACGTACAAATATAAGTTTTAAAGTCCCATAATGCTAATTTAGAAAATATAAACTTTATTACTTACTTGGAGCAGCCAAAAGGACAGTGGTGTACCAAAGCTCCTTGCCAAAGTAGTTGCCTTTTTCATACATAGGGTTGTTGTCATAATCAAAATCAAACGTGTGACCTCCGTCAATTGCCTTCTTGTCAATGCCATTCTTCAGGAACTGAAAACACATCAAAGGATATAAAATGTGGGTGAATACAAGGCCTACTAAACACTTATATCAAATTATTTTTGGTCTTGACGTATCAAATTATTTTTGGTCTTGACAAATAATAATTGGTCTAAGGCCCAGCGCACACGGTGTGACTGTTTTACAGCAACTGTTGCAAACCAGTTGCATCTGAAACCAGTTTGCAACTGAAACAAAACTTCTGTCCGCACACGGTGTGACTGTTTTACAACTACAGTTGCGTATATTGTGCAATCAGTGGAGTGATTAATTTAGTGCAGTTACGTTGTTTTAAAGCCTTAAGTACGCTTACTATGTCAGAGTCAGACGAAGAAGACGTTATTAGCTATTATCAATACCGAAGATAGCGAAGGGTACTGAAAGAGCATTGGGTTCACCCTTATTTGAGCAAGAATGTTAGTCCTAGGCTGTTTGTAGCAGCTAGAGCTAGTCGGAAATTATAAACACTAAAAACACTATACGGCTGTTAAAATACCACCAAAATACCAACAAACACCACAAAACACCCCATGGTGTCGTGCAACTAAAGTCTGCAGCGTCGGGCCCACGGTTGTATGAGACTGGTTTCAAACGTTTTTTGAAATCGCATACTGTACAACCAGTTGGGTCGTGTGCGCCTCCCCACTGCAATACATTGCCGAGGTCACAAAGCAGTTGCAAGCGCAATTGGTTTGTAACAAAAGTTGTAAAACAGTCACACTGTGTGCACTGGGCCTAAGGGTACAATATTGTAACCAACCAAAGTTGTTGTCCTTTCTAACTAGTTGTATAGGTAGCCTAGTGGTTAAAACTTTGTCCTTGCCTTCAAATCTTAATGTCGCTAGTTTAATTATAAGCGATTTTGATTCTATGATTCTATCCAACAAAAGAAATTTATGTTTGATACCGACCGTTCCCTTTCAAAAATAAAAACTGCAAATGACGTTAATGAGTACAACTAGGAATTGTATCCTTACTGCCAATCTGAGTCCTGCAACTGTTCCCTTCTTGTCAAAAAGAATCATGAGGCGAGGGTCTTGGGGCTGTGAAAACACTTCTACATTGAGTTTCTTGTCTTCGTCAATCTTCAGCCACTTTCCTTGCGCGGTCGCCTCCTCCACGGACCACGGCAGGTCGTAGTAACCTTTGCCATTCTTGCCGTAAGTCACTGAAACACAATTAGAGCAATGTTTGAACTGAAACACTGGCTTTGTTTCAACACTAGGAAGTTACTCACAAAAATAGGAGTAAAATAAAGGAGTTTTGTACTTTTATACATTGGTATTACCTTTTTTCATGGAAGGATTGTTATGTTAGTTGAGTGGAGTTTTTTCCTCAATGAATTGAGCTGTCAATAATCTTCAATATTTTTTCCACGCAGATTGTTATGTGTCAGTTTTAAGAATGCTTTAAAGGAGAACTGTCATCTCAGTCTTTTGGACTTTCAAAGATCTGTTTATTTTGTGTTTCAATCCAAATGAAAAATTAATATTGTGTTACGTAGATTATTCTTTGAAGTATTGTTTTTATGACAGTCTTAGGGATTGTCCAAAGGAGTATTGTTGTTTCTTGAGAAATTGTTACATAGATAAGAGTGTTACGTCACTGTTATGGAGTTATTACAGGGACATTTTTATGACAGTACAATCAATTTTTCATATTAGGAATATTATATAAGTGTATTTGAAGTATTTGAATGAGATTCTTAAAGGTTTTTCATAGAAGGATGTCTTTTATTCAATATTAAACGTTACATTCTTAATACTAAAGAACATTAATGATCAAGCTTTCGTATATTATAATGAATCTATATCTATATACTTTTTGTATTCAACATACACTGACTATGAATGAATAGAAAAAAATATTGAAACACAATCCTTTAAGTAGTTACATCCAAATAAAAATAAAACCAACTATTCAATTCATTTTGTCCTACATTCTTAACCTAGAACGCTAGTTCTAGCCCGGAACTGTTTTACACATTACTTCAAGCTGGTCCTAGTGCGTTGCAGCATTATCACATGGATAAATCCATTGGTCATTGTCGGGATTTGTACCCGGAACCTCGGGCACTGAAGCCCCGAGCTCTACTCAGTGTGTGGTAGATCAAAGTCTTATGGCATTTAAATGGTTTCCATAGTGATACAAAATCAGCTGTTAATGACCTTAATCATTTGGGCTCAGACAATTGAGAGCAGATATGAGGAAAAACCTATTCAACTTTCTTCTTGGAAAATTGTGTTGTGTGTTCATATCTTTTACGTTTGTAACTTTTACTAATGGAGGTTCCATCCAATCTCCAATGGATTAATCTCTGAGTACTCAGTGGTGGTTTCAACCCTGAGCAGGGTGTGCAGTAACTTCTTGTCTTTGTGAAAGGGAATAAAATAGTTTTTGAATTTTGGATTCATTATTATTGATTCCTGGTTTTGAAAATTGTGATATACTTATTAATCCCAGTAACAAATTAAGTCTACTCTGGCATTTCAATTTTGAAGTCATTATTTTAACCTCACATTTGATTGTTCAACAGACCAAATAGGCCTATCTGTCTAAACTATTATTTTATTTGCAGCTAAAATGTCACTTGAAGAGAGAAAAACAAAATTTAAAAAACTGTTATAGTGACCAGTCTTGTGAATTAACAGATAATAATGTTTGAACGAAAAGGGTTTGTTTGAAAATCTCATTTGACAGACTAAGTTACCGTATGATGTATTTTTCAATAAACATTTTAAGGAGAAAATTCTGGGAACTGATTACTTAACTCAAACTGTAACTAACCATTGAGACAAAGCTATAATTCTAATTATATGGGTTCTTGTTGTCCAAACTATTAAAACATTGTATGGTGTACATCAATCAATAGCCTCTTTCAAAAATGATCAAAACCAAGTTTCAAATCTAGTTTCTAAAAATATTAGGAAAATGAAACACCTCAAATAGTTATATAGAACCATTACAGGACTTTGTCTCTCTATAAGAGAACCAGTCCTGATAGTATGGTTACAGTTTCTTTCATTATATTCATAATTTGATTATACTCTTGCTCTAAGAGTAATAAAATCATGTTAGGAGAAGTCATATAGATGAAAAACAAACAAATTTACCTGTCAAAATTTACACAGCCAGTTTCCATTGTATTTGTATCTAACTCAACATTTTATCATCGTTGAATATATTTAAAGCACTGTCTTCTAGCAGTCAAAAAGTATAAGATTTCGAAATTATCATAGATAAAACATGGATAAACAGTTGGTTAGTATGACATTATCTTCAGGTTAAGTCTAACAGAAAAAATTTGAAAAATTTGAACTTACCTTTCAATGCATTCCATTCAGCACCTGTAAATTACAACCATTTTAGTAATTTACGTATTTATATATACAGCAATAAAAGTAAGTTACTTTTGAATATAAGTCATATCAACACGTTATTAGGCTTAGACAGAGGATGTGGAAAGACTGTTTTAACCATTTAACCTGTCATCTATTTGAACCTGTTATGTGCTGTTTGCCAGTTTGCCCAAACTCTTTGGCACTTGCCATTGATGGTGATGACCTCTCGAAATCTTGACTAAGGTCAATGCACTGAGTTATATAACATTATTTACCAGTCTTGCTTTACTGTATGTGACTTATTGTATGAATTTGTGTCTTGAGTCGAAATATGTTTGTGTGATCTAAAGACATAAACAAACATAACAGTGTACTTAAGGCAACACTTTTAAGAAAGAAACGAAATGTAAGTAAAATATATAAATGAGTAAACTGAAAATTTTACATTGTTGGAGAGATAACTTCTTGATCAGCATCGTACGTGTTATTAAATTTACGGAAAGTAAATAAAGAAACGTCTTATAACACTTAAAACATATATTTACACTTATACTGTTACTCACAAGTCGGTAATATACAAAAAAACCACCAACCATCGATCACCACTTACCAACTTTTTTGTATATTTACGTCTTGTGAGTAACAGTATAAGCGTAAATATATGTTTTAAGTGTTTTAGACGGTTTCTTGATTTACTTTCCTTAATGTTGCGAGAGAAATAATTTTATGTAACAGTACAATACAAAATGTTTTAAAGTTGAAAACTAAAATTTTCATTTTGGAATAAACCATATGTGAATGAAAACTACTTAAAAATTGTAAAAAAGTGATCCATTTTTGTGTTTTACAACTCAATGTTAATATTGTATGTAAGGTAAAAACCTTTCTATTTTACCTTGGTTAAATTTACTCAAAATTTCATGTGAAGTTGTAGTGGGATTAAAAAAAACACATCAGCTGATTTGAATAACACGGTAACTTGGTCTCAACTTAAACTGAGACTTGCTAACAGAGCATGTGCTTTTAAGTTAATTAGAGTTATAATCTTACAATGTTAAACACACTGCATAGTCTTAATTCCATAAAAAAATATAGCTTAACTGGAGAATACAAGGAAAACAGCTGCAGTTCTCATCTGTAATCACAATAACATGAGTAAAATCAACAGACTTTTATGAAATTTGGTAAAAATGTGTAAGTTTATACTTCTCATCCCATTGTAAATTTTAAAGCTCGTAAAAGCTTGTTTTTCATTTCTAGTTCTTGTACGGCGACACTGGATGTTAATGTTTTCTGTGGCGTTAGTGTCGACGAAATTTTATTTCTATTATTTTTGGGTTAATTTAATGATTTGTGCTTTACTGTTTGGTTGTATATAGGGTATGAGTTATTGTTTATAATTATATAGTTTTAATAGGTTAAAACGAGGTTTTAAAATGACTGAAATAAAAATCAACAAATTGTAAATAAAACTCATCTACAGTGCATGGACAAAAACTAACAATAAAATTGGCTTCAGCTGTTCCATTAGGATGAGAAATCAACTAGTACTGTATGTTTTACCTGTTTTATTCTATGGTTTTACTAAGCGGATTACCCTTCCTGCAGCAGCAAACCTAAGTACTTGTTAAATGTAATGTTGTTTAAAAAGGGAGTATCTAACATGTACAAGAAAATGCTTCGAGCGATAAACCCAATCAGGCGGATGGAAATTTGCTTAGTCCTGCAGCAGTAATAATTCCATTTCATTTTTACTAACCACATAAGTGGGAAAGTTATCTCAAAGCAATTAAATCAAAATCCAATAAATTTGACTTATTAGCTGAAAAAGTTATTTAAAAATACCCTAAATCAATTTTCCCTACCGACCTTTCTTTTCCAACAAGAGCATGTACTACCCCCCAAAAATTAACTACTTTACAATCCAACAAATTATACAATAAAGTCAAATAACAACAATGTAAATACTTATTGATTTATTTACCAACTAAACAACAAATAAAAACTTACCAACAGTAAGGGCCACAACACCCAAGAAAGCTACAACAGTCTTCATCCTAAGAGAGTCTTCTTCACTATGCCACTGTCAGGACTAGACTGGCTGTTATAAGTTCATCACCCTTAGCAACAACCTTGGCATTGGCAACTGGTTCAGTTCTGCAGAGAAGGAAAAACCCCCAACTTTATCCTCATCTACTTTCCTCCTTTTGTATCAGAAAGCTGCTTTAGTTTACTTGCATGCTGATTCTAACAATAAACAACAGGAAATTTGGCCCAAGCTGTGATAAAATTGGAAAACACTGTAAACTGGTTTACAGAGTACATATTTATCATGAGTTTGTAAGTAGGTGTTTTCCTTAAAATTGATTGTTTTGGGTTTTTTTGTCTTATCTGAACTGATTACTTTGTTTTGACTTAATTGTGAAAAATTATTGATTTGGAAAATGTTCTTGTTCGTCAAGTTTGGCAGTGTGATTCCTAGAATTGATTAATCGTTTTAGTTTCAGTGTGTGTTTATTAGTTTGTTTATTTAGTGTAAATTGGTTTAGGTAGCACGGAATTAATAGGATGTTTGATAAATAATTACTTGAGTAAAAAACGACAACTTAATGGTAGTGAGAAACCTGGTTCAATTCATTGATTGTTGTGGTTATCCAAGGTGTTTAAAATGTTTAATATCTTGAAGATTTGTGATTTTAAGCTGCTGAGGTGCTAAAAGATGGTTACATGAAGAAACCTAGAAATTTATTTAGATATTTCACTTAAAAATTGTTGTCAACTGTGTAAATAGTAATTATTTTTTAACTTATTATAACTAAAAAATTGTGATTTTAGTTATTTTTTAGTAGGGAACCTATTTAAAACTAATTATAATAAAATAAAATAAAATAATAATAACAAGTATGTAATATTATAATAGTATGTATAAGTTGAAGTTGAATATTAGCATTGACTATTTAGTCAAAATTATTAGTCATATTGTCTCAATATACGAAATTCAAGACAAAATCATAGATTAAATATTACGTGACACAAATACCAATGTGGCTAAAACCCACTGAAGCGGAAAATAAAGGTGTAATTACTTTTCCCAAGGTTGCTTCTAGAAATCCACTGATCAGAAAACAGAGCACGACCCTCGTATCGGAGTTCAGAGCATTCTTGATGCTTAGCATTTTCTTTAAACAAAAAAGTTGATAATACCTCCACTGCAGCAAACTGGACCACCCTAGGGAGTAAAATACCCCCGTCGCAGCAAACCTGCAGACTAAGCGAATTTCCATTTGCCTGATTGGATTTAGGCATACACTAAAATGTCCCCTTAAAAATATCACATTTATTCCCTATTTATACAGTATAGAACTAGTTTAATGAGTACTTAGGGAGGGTACTTAGGGGGGGGGTTTTAGGGGGGAGCGCTGCAAAAGGGAGGGTAAACAAGTTTTTTTTTTGTAAAATGTTAATAGTTTAGTAAGAAATAAATGCTTTTCCCTTATTTTGTTTAAAATATATCTATAAACAAGCAAACTACAACAGTTTACTTACACTCCATAAGAATAACATGGGAATTTTAAATTTACAATTTTTTTTAATTTTTCCCTGTAACCATTAGGCACATAATAATGCTTCAATATAATAAATTATTTTTTAAGCTGTACAAAATGGTTGTGAAATAAATTTCTAAATATCATGTTTTTTGGGTTAGAAATGGTAAAAACCCATTTTTACCCCATAGTCTAATCATGCTGGTTCACAAATTCTTTTGAATAAATACGTATGTTTACATGTTCATACCAAATTTCATTAAAATCGAATAATTTTTTCACGAGTTATCCTGCTAACGGACACATACGCACACACACTTTATAATGTGGAAACACGAATCGAAACATTTAGCAATGGTCGACCAGTAACAAAACTTTTGGTGCTTTCTGAGGGTAAGTCGCAAATGTCCTCTGGAGATATCACTCTTACACGCATTCTTACAATATTTAATTCAAAAGATTTCCCGTAGAATAACTTAACTGCCTCAACAAGGCACAACACCACAACAAGGCTATGCCTTATAACAGGATTAGCATTGAAGCACAACTTGCAGACCACTTGCTTAGTGAAAGTTTCAGTTGCTAAACAATCAGAACTTTGACTAGAGAGGACTTTCCTTCCCCAAGGTCTATTTCTGCAATTGTACTATGGAGGGAAACAATCTTACCTGAACTGTAGTTAATCTAGTGACTCTATCTTCTATTTTTCTTAATAAATGAAATTTAAATCAAAGTTTTTATCTACTGTTATTTTCCTTATTTTGGAAAACAACGTGTACACGTATACAATGATTATTATATTTTTATCAATGAAAATTGGGCAGAGTTTTATATTTCTTAGTCACTTTGGTTTTCTGCCACATTCACTTTTCTACTTTTAATGAAAACATAATATAAACCTATATATAATAGATACATTGATAGTATGAATTGATAATTGAATAACAAAAAAAAGGTACTAATAAATTCCTGCAATTTAAAAATTCCCTTGAATAGAATTTTGAATTGAATTGTGAAAAGAAAATCCAATCAATTTGATGTTACAAATCAATCACGATATTTGAAATTGAGTTATGGAACAATCAAGCAGAATCATTTAATTTTCAAAGGAAAAACATTGATTTAAACAACTGTTCAGTCTTGATTTTGATTGAACAATATATTTTGTTACGGTGAAATAGTAATCAATATTCTTATAGATTTGAATGGGATCAAAACTAATTCAATTATATGTAGATTTGACAAATTTCTGTCCAATTTCTCTAAATTAAAAGAGTTGAGGATAAAGAGTATTTTCGTGTAGATTCTCTGTTCCTGAAATAATACTGAAGTAAAAAATTCATGTTTTACAGTACTGGGTCCCTTAGTTGCCATCGGCTGTATGAGCTATTATTTAACAGCTGTGTCTAAGGAATATGTCGGCCTTAGTCACTAACAAGACTACAATCGCACCCATCCTACACTCATCTCCATTCATACTTGGGTTAAAATACCTACCTTTGTGTGGTCACCATTTCATAGTAAAGTATAAAATAATTAAACCAGCAATATTAAAAAGATTTTCAAACAAAAAGTAAAATTTGCTAAACAAGTTACTGTTTAAAAATTATAAATTTTTGTTTACTTGATTTTTGTTTAGTAAGTAGATGATGCAATGTAAAGCTAAAATTACAAAAACTATGAACGTTAGTTTTACCACAAAACGGCCCCTTTATAACATAACTTTGAATTGGTTTCAAATGACATAACTTTAAACCTATGTTTAAAGATCAGCAATGTGAGACAATGTTTCAAGTGTAGCCAAGTGTAACTTATCCTAGAGAATGGACAGAACTAGTCTAGACTTTGTCAAAGTCACTGAGCTTTGTAGCGGAATGTCTAACTCTACCAAGTTACTAAACTATTGTCTTTGGCTTGAAATCTTCAGAGAAAACCAACTTCTATGAGAAAAGTTACTTGAAATCAGTTTGGCGAGTGAAGTTTCCAACCTTTAATCTTCTTAGTACAAAATATTTAACAAGATAGTTCAAAACTTTTTTTTTACTCTTCAATACCTCCATTCTTCTCTGTAATTGGAAAAAACCGACCAAAAACTAAAGAGCTTCTGTTGTTGTGACAAAAAATTTGATTTACATCGATAATAGTGTTCTTTGTCTTAATTGATACTTTGCTGCACTTAAGTAAAACAAATAAGTAAACAGCGTTATACATCTATAAACTAGTTTCATGGATTACATCAGAGTTTTGACATTTCTTGAGATTAAAATATACATCAAGTTTTGTTTGAAATACCTAGCTGACTTTCATCAATGCATATGGCTATAAATTTAGTTTTTCAGAAGAGAAACTGCCCCCACACTTTGGAAAAATATTTTTGTGTGCTTTAGCTTAGGAAAATAACGCAATCTGTTTCTGATGTCTAAAGTTGATTCAGGATTCATTGTGTAGGTGGTCATGATGGGAAGTTGATCTTGATCTAAGTGAGTGGCATAAGAGGTTTAGAACTAAAAAGGATGATGTGCTTATTTGACATCATCATCGCAGTTTGTTTGCTATCTGAAAGTGCTGCATGATCTTTCTTTTTAAACTTTGAATTAAGTATTATTTGCTAAGTTGTAATTTGAAAGCCTGTAAATACATTGAACTAACCTGCATACTAAGTGAATTTCCATTTTGTCTGAGAGAAGAAAAAATTTAATTTTGAAATTATTAATAGTACTATCAAATAAGTAAACTTTCCAAATTTGATCAAAAGTATTAATAAACAAGCAAACTACAGTCTACAGTATACAAAAGTTTACTTTTTCTCCATAAGAATAACGTGGAAATACCTACTAAAATGTAGGTACAGTTTTATATATTTTTTCCTGTAACCTTTAATCCTACAATAACGCTTAAATATACAAAATTAGTTTGTTTTTACCTCTACAATAATATATTGTTGTAGGAAACTGGGATTTTTTTATGTTTTAGGGGTAAACATTTGAAAAAGTGATTTTTGAAAATTTTAAAACCCCATGACCTGATCTTGCTGGTTCACAAACTCATTACAGTGTTGCAGTTCCTATAGGTTCATGTCAAATTTTATCAAAATCAGACCAAACTTAATCGAGTTATCTTTGTTCACATACATAAATATTGTAACAAATGGTGTTTTTGACCTTCGAAATAATAAAGTTTATTGGTACCTGGGTCTAGGTCTCGCTGTGCAACCTAGAGTATTAGCTTCTTCCATAGGGGGGAATTAAAACGAACTCACATAGTTCAATTACCGGTATGTCTTTTCAAAGTGCATATATTTAAGGTGATGGCAGGGTTGTTGATGTGATAATAAAGAGATATTAAAAAGCTAAAGACTTTGGAGCAGAAAGCTTTTGTTTCAGACCAGGTTCACATTGCTTTGTATTCCACCAGCTCCCTACTTAACAATTCTTTCCAACCCCAACTGTTAAAAGTCCCAGGTAGTTCTGTACTTGAAAGATTCATTTAACGTTTACTACTGAAAGAATAGTTTTGCTATTATTTCTAACCTAGACGTAAATTATGTATTGTAAAAATGTATATGTAC